GATGAAATTAGAACTACAAAAATAACCCCTAGTTTTAAAAATAAAGTAAAAGAAATACTTATTCAATAGATCTAAACAAATCTGTTTTTATTGGTATAATCTAAAAAAAATTTTTTTTTTCTTTTCTATGTTTTTTTCTTTCTCTCTCACATTCTCGGTTTTTAACTATATTTAAATGACTACTATTTTGCATATTTGAATAAGGAAATTTCAAATTAATAAATAAATTTTATTGTTTGGCATTATGTTCAAAAATACATCTAAATGACAATTTATCCTATTGTTTCTTACTCAACTATACTATTTTTCCTTTGATGACTCATTAAATTAAAAACATAGTTTTTCATTTCTCTTAATTTTTATTTTTGCCCTTTTATCTCTTTTAAATCAATTTTTCATTTTTAAGGACTTTTGAAAAATTTAAAACAATTGGGTAATATTGTTTGACTAAAATGTCTAAGCGCAATTCTTCTGAATTTTCTCCATTAAATTTTGCAGCAAACATGACAAACAACGAAAAACGCAGCAAAATTGTAGAGGAAATTATTTTTTTTTTTAAATTTTGACAATTTAAGATAATTAAATCAGTACACTTTCCTCTAGCTTCATAAATTTAAAGCATCCTATTTAGTTAAAATGGTCGGTATGGAGTATATTTATTTAAAGAATAAATCAATTATAATATTAAATTTGTGTTTTTTTTTTAATTTATTATGACTTTATATGCTGTTTCTTATTTTATTATTTTTATTGTGCCACGCTACGACATTGTTGTCGAATTAAGTGGCACGCCCTTTCGATGACATTTTTTTTTTATGTTGATAAATAAATAAATAAATAAATAAATTATTTTCCTTTCCGGTCGTTAATAAAAAATATTTTTTCCCAACAATTCCTAAGATTAAAGAGATAAAATTTCCTTATATAAACAATTCCTGTAAACTCTTTTCTCAGCTTTTTCTGTGCTCATTTGTTGTAATTTCCTTATCTTCTTACAGCCTAGTAATCGCACTAGCTGACTTATTGCTTTTTGTTCCCTACAGCCTAGACTTGGCTGAACTCTCTTTTCTCTATTAACTTAATTTGTTAATATTCTTTGTGTGAAATAAATATTGTTAAAATATTTGTATTAGACTTTACTGAGCCTAGGGGTTTTACTTCGGAATATTTTTTCTTTTTCCGACACTTCTTTCAATCTCTCTGGATTGGGAATTAAACGAGATGGGGCAATTAGTTGAGAAGGGGTATGGTAATTACCGTATTTATTCTAATATAAAGACAATCTCTATTATAACGACTGTCTCTAATAAGACGACATTCTACGTTAAATATGAAATTGTCAGTTAAAACGATTATTTTAATAGAGACTTCCAAGACCGAAAATTTTCCAAGACTCAGACCAAGACCAAGTCTAGACCCAAGACCCAAAACCAAGACTAAACCCCAAGACCGCAGTGAAAATTTTGAGAATTTTGTACGCTTAAGCGGCAAAAATTTATCTACATATTTAAAAAATTAACACAATTTTTAATTAAAATTAATTTTATAAGTATTTTGTTTTCAAAGAAAAACAATTATTTGGTTATTTCCTTTATTAGGGTCGAACCTTGATTTGTCAAAGGGGTGATCAACAGTAGTAAACCCCCCCCATACGCCCACATGTCTCACTTGGACATGTGAGACGGGGGCAGGGGGATGTGTTAAGGTGTAAGGGGTTTTCATCTCCCATCCGTCCCAGTGGGACCGATGGGTGTTGGGTGACCTTGACAACAAGTACAAGCAATTCTGCGGCTGAAAGGAGATGAACAAAGGGGAAGGGGGTAGAATTTTGCCGCTATTAAATTTCACTCATGTCCCACATGTTCCAGTGGAAAATTTGAGAGGAACTGGCGGTAAAACAAAAGGAAACCTTTGCTTGTACAAGTACAAGCAAATTTGCGGGTGGATGAAGGTGATCAAAGGGGGGAAGTGGGGGAAGTTAACTGTAACTAAATTTCTCTGTTGTCCCAAATGTTCCAGCTATTAATTGGCGGTAAATCTAAAGGAAACCTATCAAAAGGAAACCTTTTCTTGTACAAGTTTCCGCTATTAATTTCTCCCTTTCCCACATGTACCAGTGGGAAATTTGGGAGAAACTTGCGGGAAAACAAAAGGAAACCTAATGATTTGACAAACCTTTGTCTCTGATGTGAGGGTACAAGTAAAGGAAAAACAAAAAAACATTAAACAAAAAATTAAAAAATAAGGGGAAAATAGAGATATTGACGTTTTCCCCTCCCAAGGTCATTTGCGGGAAAAATAAAAAATAAAACTCCTTTAAAGTAAAATTTTCTCCTTTATTGTTTGATTGCGGCAATTTTAAAAAATTGTAAAATTTAAAAATAATGGAATTATGTAAAAATTTCGAAATTTTGGAATGCATTTCGAATCATGATAGGCTGTCAGAATGTAAGGGGGAGTTAATTTCGAAATGTAAAAATGAAAAAATGTCACAGCGACAAAATGCCATCTCTCAATTCGTCATGTCACAAAACGCCAACCTTCAAAATACCAATTCTTAAAAGATCATCTTTATATTTTCTCTAATATTTATTTTTTCAACCTATATTTCTCGTCTTTTACTATAATAAATCGTTAAAATTTTTAAACATCATTAATTATTTTAATTATATCCATTTTATAATTGCTGTAAACTTTAAAATTCAATTCTTATTACATAAATTTAATTAATATAACCTAACTTTCTAAACTAAACATGGTTCATATTCCTTTTGACCCAAGAACAGTCGGTTACGACGACCATCATGCACCTGTCAGCCAAACAGGTGGAGGCGCTGATGAAAATTATTACTATTTTCGTGGACTTAATCCCTATCAACGTGGATATGGGAGACAAGCGGGTGGCGGGGTTGGAGACGTACTCAGAAATTTTTGGCGTTTCCTTTTACCTTATGCAAAACGTGCGGGTACAGCTGTAGCAAAAGAAGCATTGGATACCGGTGGAAGAATTCTAGAAAGTGTTGGGAATCCTGAATATGGGAGTGAAGATTCTAATACTAATTTTAAGCAAACAGTTATAAGTGAAGGAAAACGAGGATTGGACAGATTACTTGAGAAAGGAGGATTACCAAAACAATTTGGAACCGGATTACGAGCCAGAGGTAGTATAAAAGGTCTCAAAAGAAAAGTTAGACCTCATCCAAAATTTTCAAGGCAAAAAAGTCATCAACTCATTATTGGTAAACATCCCTCAGATACCACAAAAAGGAAACGTCAAAAAATAGATACATTCGGTCTTTATTAAATAAAAATGTCCACTCATCAGAAGATTGATCGCGATTCTGGCAATGCAATAACAAATGCTTTATCATTTTTCGAAACTCCCCATACAAATGTTAGTATTAGCAACTCATCATTTATCGAATTGCTCACACTTAACCCTGTAAATATCACCCCGTTTCATTTTAAAATTCATGCAACTACCAATTATATTGATTTGGCTAAAACTTATGTTTTTACCGAACTTAGGATTAAAAAGGAAGATAAAGATGGGAAACTTGTTGATATAGGAAAAGATGATAATGTGGCGACCGTGCAGCTTATAGGCCACACAATTTGGAAAAATTGTCGCATGCATATTAATGGGACACAGGTTTTTGAAGGGAATTCCCTCATGGCATACAAAAGTATTTTTGGCTATGAACTAACTTACCCGCAAAGTGTGAAGAACTCTTATCTTTCTGTGGCGGGATATTATGATGATGGGGCTACACAGACATATCCAGGAGTTGATGCAAATGGATATGGAATTAAATCAAGGAAGAAACTATTTTTAGACGAAGATGGGAATCCTCGTAGTGCACAATTTATGGCCAAATTGGATGTTGATATTTGTAATCAGCCAAGATATTTAGTAAACCAATGTGAAGTTGATATTGAACTACTACCCAATGAATCAAGTTTTCTACTTAGTGCTCCCTGGGACACTGCCCCAAAATACCATCTAGAAATTTTGGCTTGCAAATTATATGTAAAGAAGATTGAATTAATGGATAGTTTAGCTTTTGATATTTCGAAAAAACTCGAAATAAAGCCCGCACGGTACCCAATAAGAAAAACATCTCTCAAATCCTTATTCATTGGTGAAAATAGAACAGAATTTAATGCTAACATATGGATGGATCAGGTGCCTAGAAGAATTATATTGGGAATGGTTGACAATAAAGATTTTGTAGGACGGCAAAGAACAACACCTTTTTATTTTCAACATTTTAATTTGAGAGATATTTCCATAACAGCTGGGGGAGTGACATTTCCAGCAGCCCCTTATTCCCTTGATTTTTCAAAAGGAAACTTCGCTAGAATTTTTCATGACATGCAAGAGGCAGTAGGGTACGCGGGATCACTAGAAAGTAACGGTATATCAATGTTTCGGTATGCATATGCAGGATATTGCTTCTTCGTATTTAACCTCACAAATAGTCAGGAAGATAATGGGCCAGAGATGTTTGATTTAATAAAGAATGGCACTACTAGTATAAGAATGACCTTCAACGAACCTGTTCCAAGTGGTGGGATTGTACTTGTAGCAATGGGTGAAATCGATTCGCTGCTAATGTTAGATAGGAACAGAACTATTTCCACAGATATTTCAGTATAAATACCCACAATTTTCCTAATTTTTTAATCTTTTACTTCATTTAAAAATGTGTCACATTACTATTAAAATTGAATTTTGCTTTGTTTGTATAATTTTGTTTTCCTTTTTGTATAAATTTACACACCAATATTATATGTCTAACGAGGATGAAAATCCAGAGTATAGAGAAAAATTAAGAGAACGTATAGGCTATTACGCTAATACTATACCCCCTAAATCAAGCAAAATTTTTAATTCTTCAACAAAATCCCCAATTATTCCTGAAAGAATACAAAATAGTATTGGGCTAGCATCTAAAAATAATCCTGAGAAAAATATTACAATTTTGGATTTTTGGTCAATGGAACACGTGGAGAATGTCCAATTTCCCTCCCCTTGCAAGGAATTCCCTTCATCAGAAACATCGATTGCTCAAACTATTTACTGTTATACATTAATTGTACTCTGGCTTCTATTGCTAGCAACAGCCTTAACCTATCAACTGAGAAAATTTATAAGAATTAAAAACAACAACAATATTGACATTGAACTTGGAGAAATACGAAGAAAAGATTCAAACATTCCCTTCCTTGACGGAAATGGACACTTTACAAATAGAAAAAATTCTATTACTCAACAAAATAACTAGAAGATATTTTATTGGATGCTTTGCCTCAGATAAAATCCCACAGGAAGTCCGAAAATACCCTTGTTCAATGGTCGTCAACCTCGAGAAGTCTTCTCAAAATGGATCACATTGGATTGCATTTTTCATAGAAAACCAAGAGAAAATATTAATATTTGACTCATTATTACTCCCCGAACCTCCCATTTCAATAAAAAAATTTATATCCAAATTTCCAAATCGTGTAATAAATAATGTACCCCTTCAAAATCCTCTTTATTCCACATGTGGTCAGCATTGTATCACTTTTATTTATTTTATTTCCTCTGGATTTTCTTATAAAAAATTTCTATCCCTATTATTAAATCATTCAAATCCAGACGAATTTGTTTTTTCTTTTATTATTAAAATGATAAAAAATAAATAAAATTTGACATTAATTAAAACATATTGTTAATTAGTTAAAATTTTATCATTCTTTTAAACATTAGAGTAATAATTACAGTTCCATGATCAAATTTTACAAGACTTCCGTTCATCCATCTCAGTTCAATTTCAATCTCATTAATCTCTCTGGGTAACACTTGTATGAACATTGGTTGATCATACACTCTTTCTACAACACCGCCAGACCTATTCTCAACAGCCACAATTCTAAGTAATGAACTGACCGAATTTCCCATAATTACAGTGTTTGTTAACCCTTTCGAATAAACAGCAAAGCTAGTAAATCCTCCCTTGAGATCAATTCCATATTTTCCAATTTGACCGTTTACCAAAGGCCCCATGGGGAAGCCGAGAACATAGCATAATTGTGAAGATATTGTTATATTTCTAATCTCAGCATCATTGAAAATTACTCTAAAGCGATCAATGCTGTCCAAATATTCAAATTCAATGTCAGAATGCAAATCTTTTGCCTGAGATTCTTTTTCTTCAATCAAAGTAACTGTCTTCTCATTTATCAGATCGTCAGTATTTTGCTCATCTTTTTGTTCTTCAAATATCTCTTCTGTTGGTATAATCTCTTCTGAGGAATCCAAATCTAAAACTGGGCTTTCCCTACTTTTCTCATTCCAACCTTCTTCCTCTTTTTCGAAACCTTCCTCATCAGGTACCGTATCTTCCTCTTCATCTATTGGTTGCTCAAGGGGTATAGGTTGACCATATTTATCTATTCTTCTTGCATGCTTTAACTGTTCCTTGCTTTCTTTCAACTCTTTATCTTTTCTTTCATTTTCCTCTGACTCTCTGGCCTTGTCCTGCTCATACCCATGCCTTTCCTTGACAACTTCAACCATTTCTTCTGTAATTACGGGAGCAGGAATTGGTACTGGTTTGCCTTGATCATCTAGCTTTAGGGCATCTTCCAAATATTCTGGATGAGTTTTCTCTTCAATTTTTTGCATTTCCTTAATTTCATTCTTAGTTGGTGGAATTGGCAGCTCAAAATTTTTCCATTTCTTGTAGGCCGCATGATGTATCGCTGTAAATCTATTTCTTCTGTAGGAAGCCAATTTACTTAAATTGTCAATCTCCTTCCCTAATTTATTCTTTTCTTCCTCATCCTGCTCTTGTGAATGCAAATCTCGTTTTTCCCTAATCTGCCTGTGCAATTCCTGCAGATCGCCTAAATTTTTCTTTAAAGCTGTCCAGTGATCCACAGGGTGGTCGTCAAAAAATTTTTGGACAAATTCTGAGTGTGTACTTGAATTCTGATGATAAAATTCATCCCTACTAATTTTAAACTCTCTTTCAATTATTGCAGATTCCAATGCTTCCAAGTTTTTTCGCATACGCTTTATTGAATTAATAAATCTTTGAATTTCTTCTCCTGAACGAACATTTTTACCACCCTCCTCCCTGCTCTCATTAACTTTATCTTCTAGTTCAATGTATCTTACTATTATATTTATTTCCATCTTTATCACCTGCTCGTGATAATCATCTGGGTGCTGTTCAAAAAACTGATTTGCAATAAGTCGTCCATCAAGCCTATCTCTCTTATTAGCTTCCTCTGTTAAAAGACGAATTTCTTTCTTTTTATCTTCTGAAAGGGAATGAAGGTGATCAAGTTCCTGTTGAAATTCTTCCTTTTGTATAACATCCTCTTCATTAAGGACTTGTTTTGTTTTTTCTTCTACCTTAACTTTATGTTGTTCTAATTCTTGTTCATAATCACGTATGGCTTCCCAATAATTGTGAGGATACTGATTAAAAAATTCCTTTACCCATAATGGCACACTATCTGCTTCACTTGCCTCTCTCCTTCGTCTTTTCTTAGCAGGGTCGACCACTAAATTAATTTCAGGGTTAATAATAATTTCATCCTCTAAAGTATTTATTGAAACATCACGTCTTTTCCTAGCTTTTTCTTTATTGGATAATACAAGTTTGAGAAAGAAGCTGAGTCCATTGGGCGTTAATTGTGTTGTTTTGGGAATTCCAATTCTATGTGGTTTTTTGTTTTTGTAATTAATTTCGATCCATTGTTTAATGTCTGTGCCAATAGTTGCAGCCCATGACTGGGGGTATTGAATACTGTAGAGCCCACATACCCAGTTTCCACCTTGAAATTCTATTGGCTTAGGGAGATGTACTCGATACTTATTGGGTTTATTATCTGGGTAATCACTAACATTGCTAGGAAGAACAACAAAGAATGTATTAGCCATTATTTATTTAACGATAAAAAAATAATAAATTGAACAATAAAAGTGAAAAATGATTACAAATGATTTATGGGAATGAAAAAATTGGGTTTTATACAAACTGATTTTCATTTATCCACTGAGGTTGGGGATAATCAAAAAATTTAACATAAAATTCTTTTCCTCCATCTCTTTTCTTTCTGCTCTTAATAATCTTCTCAATTCTGTAGCTGGTATTCTCATCCTTCTTCACTCTGATTAATTCCTCAGGGTAGAAGTATCCTTTAAATAATTCTCCATTATCGTCTCTAACGCGATACCTGTTGGGATTAGCCTTCTTTTTAACAAGATCAATCTGAAGAATTTCATCGCTATAATTTGGGAGATATCCCTTTGAAAATATATTTTTATTTTTACTCATACGCACATGATCATTTTCTTTAAAACGTGGTTTTTTACTAGGCTTATTTTTGCTGATAGGGCCAAATACCATTTCTCTGATTTCCTTTGCATTGTTAAAGCTTACATCAACAGGTCTTAATCCACCTAAAACCCTACACTTTGAATGATTTATTGCGTCAACTATTTTCGGTAATGCCTCAGTCCATTTTAATGTATGCTTCTCACTCATAAATCTGTACAATCTCTGTTTAATGTTTCGAATACATCTTTCAGCTAGAGACGCTTTAACTTCTGAGAACGTTGCCGTGTATTTTTCAATATCTTTTTTCCTGAAAAAATCCATAATTTCTTTGCTACGGAATTCTGTTCCTTTATCACTAAAAATACGGTGGGGGTGCATTTCCATTCTTGCCAAAATTTTTTCAAAGGCTTCAATCATATCATTTGATTTTTTAGTGCGAACAGGCTCAGCGAAAACTCTTTTACTTAAAACATCTATTGCCACAAGAGCATATTTCTTTCCATTATTTTGCCGCGATAATTTTTGAAAATCTGCCAAGTCGCACTGAACATCTGTCATATACCCAGATGGATAAGTTATCGATCTTTTAAAATGTACGCGCCGAGGTCGGTGAATTGTGTATGTTCTATTTCCTTCCAAATATTTCTCAACATCCTTCTTTTTAATACTTGGATCTTTTTTTCTAGCCTCTGTCAATAGTTGGTTTACACCAGCAAATCCTGCCGGATTCGCTGGATCATTGTAAATTTTATCTAATATCATTTCCACTCTGTTGGGGGTCTCCATTTTGATTCAGGTATTTCTTTTGGTTCAGCTATTTTTCTTTTTTGGTTTGTATTAGATCTTTTTGGGGTACAGCTTTCTCGTGCCTTCTCTATCAACGGCCAAATTTTGTTATCACTTTTTAGCTTGTTTTCTAAAACTGATGTTCCTGGAGGTGTCAATTCACCCCATCTCAATTTTCCACTGATTCCTGTTCGAAGAATACACTCTATAGACTTTTGTGCATTGCTTCCCTGTATTTCTTTTCCTCCCTTCTTATTTAAAATTTTACCATCATTACTGACATCATATTTATCAAGATTCTCTTGCTTCATACTTTCAAAAATTTCATTTGTTTTTTCTTTTATTATTGTCTTTTTTGGCTCACTTTTTCCCTTGGTATCTGAAGATTCTTCCTCGACCGTATTTATACTTTGATCATTATTTAAATCGGCACCCTCTTCTAACGTTGGCAATTTTGGTGTGGCAAAATTTTGTTCAAAAACTTTTTGATTAATTTCATTGGAGTTTGTTTGGAGTAGTGGTAATAATTTTCTAATTTGCTCCAGAGCAGGATCTTCCATTTGTCTCACTGAAACATTCATTGGTCTCTCATTTTGATCCTTCAACATGTGTAAATAACGTCTCAATTCCTGGTTATAACTTATATTCTTTAATTCTGTGTTTGCATTTTGTCTTTTAATATTTTCCAAATTTTCTCTTGTAAAATCCAAATTGATATTTCCTGTTTCTGGTAGGGGGTGAGTAAGTAGTCCGCGATATATATCCTCAGGAATTAATATAAATTTATTTGCCATTTTTATTAATTACTTGTTAATGTCTTTGTTAATTCGATAATGATTGGAGTTAAAAGGGCGGGAAACAATCCTATTGGTAATCCGTTTCCTTGTTGTATTACTGTACGTCGGGCTCCTCCTTCTGTTTTTATCCTACTCACACGGCGAACAAAATCAGCGAATGGTAGAAGACGAGATTTTTGTCTTTTAGTTAATTTAAATTGACTGCGTATAATATTGAAACAAATTTCAGTGAGAGAGAGTAGTTGGTCTGTTGAAGCTTTTTTTAAAAGGCGTCTTCTTTTAGTTAGTGAGCGTGTTTTTGCGAGCTTTTGAAGAAATTGTAGGTTGTCCTTGACAAGTTGGCTAATTTTTGTTGACATGTTTTTAGTTAGATGAATTTTTAGGTAAAAATATAATAGGTAATGAATTGTATGGGTCTTCTAATTCTTTATCTTGAAATATATTTGTTCTCAATCTAAGTGTTGGATCTGATGAAGGGTGTAAATCGATAAAAAGATAGGAATAATTACTGCTGCTTGTAGCTTGTCGATATGCGTCAAGAAAATAATTTAATCTTCCTGGGAATAATTGTACTCCTAAATTGCGGACTGACAGTGCACTATTGTGTGCGCGAGTTAATACAATATACATAGAATTTTGACGTGCGACCCTGAGTTTTTTCTCGAAAAGATTCTGGGTGATGAATATTATGCCAAAATTAAGATGATGAGATTTCTTTGTAAAAAGTTCTGATAAATATTTTTCGTCAATTGTGTACATTAAATCGTCAAGAATGACTAGAGAAGGTTGCTCTTGCTTCTTAATAAGATCCTCAGGGGGAACTCCAGAATAAACTGAGACTCCGGCTCTCTGTAGCTCGGGAACAAGAGAATTATATTCGCCATAGCAGTAAAGAATAGATTTTGGAATAGGGTCAATAAGTTGATCAGAGTGGGAAATTAATTTTCGAACAAATGTACTTTTACCAGTTGAGCTTGGACCACTAATAATACAACCAAATGGAAGTTTCAATTTTAAATCTTTATTAGAAAATAAATGATAATTCATGTTTATTTTATTTGTTAAAAATTAAAAATATAGATAAAAATGATTAATGATTAAGATGTTTAATTGAATTATCGTTTAATATATTTACTTTATTGTCTTCTAGTTTATTTTCTTTTGTTTCTTCCTTCTCTTCTTGAGGGTTCCCCTGTGTGAATTTTGACAAAAATTCCTTGACAGTCATTTGTTCATTTCCGTTGATGAACTGTTTTTTATTCCAGACTTGTTCCTTGTGCAAGATATTGAAATTCTTCCCTTTTGATTTAACACGAAAGACACATTGTTGAGGAATCTCGTAAATATGATCAAACATTACTACTTTTTCCGATTTTAGACGATTGCAATATAAGGTTACATCCTTTGGAGTAACAATAAAATCAATGTCAACATTTTCCCCCCTGCAACTTTTGCATTTCCCTGCCATGTCAAACTCAACAAAACGTGCCGTTATGAGCCGTTGTGACGAAATTGTCACACCAGAAGAAGAAACCGTAAATAATACCTCAGGGATAACTTTTTCCAAGAGCTTACAATTATTCTCAATTACTGACATTTTTTATGAAATTTATAAATGAATTCTAATTTTCGGTGGAAATTTTATCCTTGGGGAATATTTCTGTATTTATACTTTAAAATGGGCGTGGCCTACGGAAAAGTCTGGGTAATAGTATTTTAAAAATTTCTCCTATGTTAATAAATAATATGACTTTTCAACAATTTTTATCTTAAATTAAGAATTTACAATTAATGAAATAAAAATAAATAAGGTAACAAATATTTTAATAAAAAAATATTAATCTGTAATCACTTTTTAAAGTTCTTTAAATTCTTCTCGTCCCAGTCAGCAGCAAAATCTTTCAGATGCATGTTCAATTTTGCACATGCTTCACAAATCTCAAAACAAATTCCAATATTTCCATTCTCCTTCTGACTGAATTTATTTTTATCGTTATAGAGTGCAATGGCACATTTTCTGCAAATTCTAATCTCAATCCTCGGTGTATCTTTCATACGCACGAGTTTCCACAAAATACGCGGGTTTATTCCATTCTTCTTCTCAATTTCCCCAGCATTTACTTTTGAAGAAGTAGGTTTTGCTTTACTGATTTTTTTCCTTTTCTACCTCTACTTCTATTATCTCCTCCTCTTTATCATTTTTTGGCTCAATAGCTAATTCAAGCTTTGGGATCTTTTCTTTTTTTGATCCGCTCATTTTTATTTTAGTTTTAAATGTAAAGTTTAGAAGAATGAATGACAAAATCAATGAGTTGGGAAATCTCATGCTTTATATACTCCAGCAAGTCCCGCCCACTTTTTAAATTTTGTAGGAGTAGTCAACTTTCAAGGCAAATTTTTTGAGTATAAAAAGCTGAGATTAACTTTTATCTTGTCAGTATAATAAATTATTTGGTCATTTTTTTAATATCTGAATAAATCAATAAAAATGAATTCTATTTTGGATGATATTTCTAAAAAGTTAAACTGTCCAAGTTATTTGGTGAGATTTAAACTAATGTATCAAGAAAATGCCGATTTGATCGCAAAATTTATAAATGAAAAAGGAAAGGTAGAGACAAAATATTCAGATAGGAATGGATTGAAATATACAATTCGATGTGACGGAATTACAACATCAGGTGCTCATTTAATCAAGGCTTTCGGAGATTTAAGTTATCCATTTAATATATCGGTTGCGGCATATTTTTTGCGCATCACAAAATAAAACTCCAATATCCGTTTCATCAATGTGTTATAGTAAGAACTTGTACAAAGAATGGAATTTGCGAAAGATACTTCCCGCTTGAGCTTGTATGTTTCGCTCCTACATCACCTCCGTCAACAATAAGTTGTTCAGAATTTGGGGCTCGACGTACACATGCAACTTCGTCTACATCAACACATACTCTCAATAGTATTCCTATATCCGACGGAAGCTTACCTCCTACACCCACTAATGGGAAATCGAGGCGAGGAATAGTCTGGATTGAAATAGAAGGTAAACCCAACCAATGGGAAAAACGCAATGTTTTGATATATTTTGATTAATTTATTCGAACATTTTATTTTATTTAAATATTTATTAAAAAATTATAAATTTACATAAAAAATGATAAAATTAAAAAATAGATTTACAAATTTTTAAAAAAATCGATAATGTTTGAAATAGGAGGTTCATATAAAAATCGCCATCTTGTTTACATTAAGTAATCTGTTCTATTAGCTTTTCCGAATTTGAACTTGTTGTCATAAAGGTCCCAACGTAGGATCCATCGCCCCATATTTTTTATTTCTCTTTGTCTGGCTAAATCTTTCTCTTTCGGATAATATATATCCTTTACAAACCATTTCATTTCCCCTCCATCAGTTTTATCCAATGATTTATTTCTTAATTTATTGCCTCGTTGAAGTTCCTCTGAATTATTTAAATCTCTGTTTGGAAATAATGTTTGTGGTGGTGGTGTCCTCCTCCATATCGGCACCAAATTATGTGTAGTTTTATTGGGAAGTATTGGTGGCGGTGTCCTTCTCCATATTGGCACCGAATTATGTGCAGTGTTATTGGCAAGTATTGGTGGCGGTGTTTTCCGCCATATTGGTATTTCCACTGAATTGTTTTCATTTTTGCTAGGAAATACTGGTGGTGGTGTCCTTCGCCATATTGGTAGTGGCGTCCTCCGATATAATGTTGTCACCAATTCTCTCTTTCCGGCTTTGCCGTCCCAATTTTCAGCCACCACTATTAATAGAATAATTGTTAATATTATCGAAAATCTTAGCATTTTAAATATTATTTATTGTATTTAATCGTTGTATTTAGTTCACAAAAGATATAATGGTTTTTTCAAATACTTATTTTTATTAATTAATTTTTTAATTTAAATAGTGAATTTTCTTTCTCAATACAGATTAACTTTATGATTACTTTAAGATAAAGATATTATTTTTAATGAATATTATTTTGGTGATTTATCCCACCAAGCAAAATATTTCCTCATAACAACTATATACAACAAATATTTATCCAAAGAAACCGCCCCTTACACCCAGAAAGGAATGCACATTAAGGAAACATGTACACGGCACATTCCGCAGACACTTTGACATGTCAAATGGGTACCATCCCTCACAACCGCCAGTAAGGAAAAAGTGTGGAAAACGCAAATACTTTGACTTTTTTTACAAAAAAAATGTGATATTTTTCTTAACTTTACATCAGTTTTATTTTCTATTTCTTAAGTTTAGAACAATTGCATCTTTTAATGCTTAACTTTAAAGCAATTGTAGCTTCTAATGCTTAAGTTTGCATTTCTACCCCCCAAAACCTATATCTTTCATTCCTTAACATTAAATCAATTGTTTCTTCTATTGCTTAACTTTACAGTAATCTTATCTTGTAATTCTTAAGTTTACATCAATATTATCTTTTAGTGCTTAACTTTACAGTAACATTCTCAAAATCTACACCTTCCATCTCTTATCATTATACCATTTTATCTTCTATTGCTTAACTTTACGTGAATTTTATCTTCTAACAGTTAAACTTGCAAGAATTTTGGTGGTTGGCATCCAAAATTTTCAAAATGTACAACTGCGCCGCAAAAATAAAAGAAATTAAGTGCTCAGCACAGGTCGAAACTCCACACAGTAGGCCGGAGCTCCACACCGTAGGCCGGAGCTCCACACCACAGGCCGGAGCTCCACACCTTGGGCCGGAGCTCCACACCTGAGGCCGGAGCTCCTCACCTGAGGCCAGAGCTCCACACCTCAGGCCGGAGTTCCACACCACAGGCCGGAGTCCACACCTCAGGTTTGAAATCCCCACCATTTTTCAAAATTTCTGCCTGCTGCGGCGCAGAAAATGGATGAATTTTACTTGATTTTACTTAATTTTTTTACTTAATTTTCTTCCAAATTTTTCAAAATTTTTGCCTGCGGCGAAGAAAGCTGTGGACCGAGATATAGGTCTCCGAAAATCGAAAAAACCATAGGGGAGAGTAAGCCGGCCATAACTGAGAACCGACGGTATCGGTTTTTAACCTTTCGCTGATAACAGTAATTTATAATTAATAAAATTTTAACTTAAAAAATATTTTAAAAAAATTTAAACTTAAAAATATTTTTTAATATGTGTAAAAAATAAATAAAAAATAAAAGATTTAGGATTTAGATCAAAATTTTTGCCTGCGGCGCAGAAAAAGAATTTATTAAATTTATTAAAAAAAAAGATCTAGATTCTTTATCTACGTATTATTTTAAATGAAAAAATTGAAAAATAAAAAAAATAAATTTTTAACTAATAGATTCAAATTAGTTATAATTCCCGAAAAAATGAAAAATTAATGAAAAAATTGTTTTTTTTAATTTTTCCCGCAAATGACCATTGGGGGAGACAAGTCAATAACTTTATTTTCCCTTTATTTTTAAATTTTTTGTTTAATGTTTTTTAGTTCCGCCAGTTTCTCCCAAATTCCCCACTGGGACATGTGGGAAAAGGAGAAACTTAATGGCGTGAACTTATATTACCTTTCCCTTTGATGATCCCCATTCACCCGCAAAGTTTCTTGTACTTGTACAAGCAAAGGTTTCCTTTTGGTAGGTTTCCTTTTAATTTACCGCCAGTTCCTCTCAAATTTCCCACGGGGCATGTGGGGCATCAGAGAAATTTAGTTACAGTTAACTTCCCCCACTTCCCCCCTTTGATCACCTTCATCCACCCGCAAAATTGCTTGTACTTGTTGTCAAGGTCACCCAACACCCATCGGTCCCACTGGGACGGATGGGAGATGAAAACCCCTTACACCTTAACACACCCCCCTGCCCCCGTCTCACATGTCCAAGTGAGACATGTGGGCGTATGGGGGGGGGTTTACTACTATCAACCACGCAACCACCGAACATTTGCAAGAAAGGCAAAAAAAAGCCTTTTTACTCATCTCAACTTTCTCTTCGTTTTCTCCTCACGCCTACCATATTTCGCTTTCGGTCTTTAGGGGTGTATTTTTCAAATCTCCAAAGAAGTCAAGACCAAGACTTCACCCCAAGATCAAGAGTCTTGGTAGTCTCTATATTTTAATATTCATTTTTACATTTGTGTACATATGGAGAAAATAAATAATTTTAATGAATCATTAATACAAAACTAATTTTAAATATTTTTTTTGACGTTTACCTTGTTCAGCTGATTAGAATTATACTAATTATCTAAATGGGAGATACATATAATTCTGATCAGCTGACCAAGAGAAACGACAAGTGATTATTCATTAAAATTTAGTATTTATTTTCACTTTCCGTTACTCTCAAAAAATAAAAATTAAAAAATGATCACTTAAATTAAATCACTTTACTTATATTTTATAAATTATTAATCAGAATTATGGCTCTATAATTTTATTAAAAAATAAATTTTAAATTTATTTTTCAGTTTTTTTTATTTTAATGAGTTTAATTTTTGTTTTATTTTTATTTATATCGTGGAAGGAGATTGTATTGACTGACCCGGCTAATCCTGCCCAAAGGAAGCCTAAATGGAGAACCGTTTTTAGCAACAAAACTTGCTCATCCGAAAACTTTCCATGCCCCGATATTTTGAATTTGTTAAAGAAAATAAATAAATGTAATGGGTAAGTTAATGAAGTTTGGATTAATAAGTATAGATAGGTTTCTGATAAAGTGATTTAGTAGTTTATGTCATTAATAAAGGGCTGATTTTTATGCAAATGCATATTTTCTTGGCAAAGTTGTCATGATATATACTGCGCAATAAAACAGTTTCCGTTTGTTTTGAAAACTTAAGAGGGGGGTTTCGAACTTTGTTGCATAATGTATATGTATTTTAATGCATATTTTGAGGATTTTGGGAAAAATAATACGAAAGTTGCTAAGTTTTGTAAAAACTTCAATAAGTGACCCCCAAAACGTCACATCTAAAAATGCCCAAATGAGTACAAATACTCAATTCGTCAAACAAGGATTTAAAAATAGGAGAAATCTAAATAACTATGTGAATTTTAAGTGTTTTGACTACAAAGATATTTAAATTTTTGGGAATAAATTGTATTTTTCTTGCATATTTTCGTCCATATCTTGATTTTAATGCATATTTTTGTGCATAAAAGTCCGCCTTCTAGTTATTAGTACATATATTACTAATTCCAAAAACCGGAACTAGGAAAGGGCTAAAGCTCGAAAATATTGGAAAATCTTCAGAATATAGTAGAACGAAAACCCAATTTAAGACGCATACCTGGCTAGCAGATGTGTCCAGCAATTATTCAGAAAATAAACTAGTAGTGTTGGCGGGTAATAGGAAGCCGCCACCCCTGTATCAGATTAAATATATTAATTAGAATTCCTCTTAAAATTCATTCAGACTCATCGTCTGTTACCCCAGCATCCTCTCAAACATTAATTTGTTGGAAAATACAAAGCTGAACCCTCGCTTTACTTTTAACGAAACAAAGGCGTCAAGGATTTGTACAAACTGTATTGAAGGAAAACAATGTGAAGGCCCGGATGGAGTCAAAACTGAATGGAGTGGTTTTCGAGTATTTTATGATAAAAAAGAAAATAAGCTTGAAGTGAATTTGGATATTTTTGGGAAAAGGTATGTCACAAATATGTCTACATAAATATAGCAGGGGTCCTAAGCAGTGCTTCGAAGCTCGTACCAAAATTCGTACTCGTACCTCGTACTCGTACCTGGTACGAAGTACGAGTACGTTCAAAAAAATGGAGCAGGTACGAAGTACGAGTACGTGGCAAAAAAAAGTGAAAAGTACAGGTACGAGGCCCAAGTACGAGCTCGTACTTCTCGTACTTGGGTTAATAGGAATAATAAAGAAATATATTTAATTCCTTTCATTCGCGTTATATGAGCGGGTAGCCGAGTGGTGAAGGCGCTTGGCTGCACCAAAGTCTGTGATGAGTTAATATTAAGTTCGCTTCCTATTCACTGGTCAGGGAATTTTAATACTTTTTTTCATAAATAACATATTTATAAGTTTAATTTTATTTTAAAAATTATTCTATTACTACATGGAGTAATTATGAGATCTTGACCCTCTAAAATTCTTAAAATATTTTACTTTGAACACTAAAAAGTGAATTTTTTTCGCCTACGGCCTTCTGAAAGTTTCAAAATTTTGGCTGTACTTTAGCCGGTGGCCCACTCAGAAACGGGTCAAAATATATACCATTCGATTTGTCTCGGCGAGCTGAGTCGAATGGTACCATTCTTTTTTTGCGGAAATTCCTACGAGCCGAGATATAGGTACTTAAAAATCGAAAAACCATAGGGGGGACCAAGCACTTTTTTGGGGTGAAAAATTTTAATATGCAAATAATAGCTCATTCGAAAGAGCTCGTCGAGCTGAGTCGATTGACATCAAAAACAACGAAATCCGACTTGATTTGACAAAGTTATGAGCATTTGTTTTAGCTCCTTACCTATGGCATCTGTGAGATTTTTGCTGATACGGAGGCCCCAAATACGTCCAGAGCAAGGGAGATAGGAATAGGGTTATGTTACAAGCCCAGACCCAGCGCCCGTAGACTCCCCGCGAGGCGCGTGCCGCAAAACTCCGCGCGAAGCGCGGAGTTTTGCACAAGCGCCTCGCCGACGCCCTATAGGTTTATGTTGTTAGTTTTTTGTGTTGTAACCTTGTCTAAATTTGTTTAATCCCGGTTATTTTGGTGTCATTCGACTCAGCTTGTCGAGCTCTTTCAAATGAGCTATAATATGGTTAAAAATTTTTTAATTCCAAAAATCACCCCTTTGGATTAACAGTTTTCAGAAGCCCATATCTCGGTCCAATCAAGACGGATTTCGTTGATTTTGATGTCAATCGACTCAGCTCGACGAGCTCTTTCGAATGAGCTATTATTTGCATATTCGAATTTTTCACCCCAAAAAAGTGCTTGGTCCCCCCTATGGTTTTTCGATTTTTAAGTACCTATATCTCGGCTCGTAGGAATTTCCGCAAAAAAAGAATGGTACCATTCGACTCAGCTCGCCGAGACGAATCGAATGGTATATATTTTGACCCGTTTCTGAGTGGGCCACCGGCTAAAGTATATCCAAAATTTTCGCCTGCGGCGCTGAAAAATGAAGGAACTTCCGGAGAACTTCCGGTGAAACTCTAATAAAAATGTACATATAACGTTCCATGGAAGAGAATGAAAAACAGATGAAAAAATACCCGACTCATCTTGGAAACCGACCCATCTTGAGAAAATATTGCTCCATGCACTTCAAAATTCTCAAAAATTTTGCCTACGGCGCATGAAAATGGATTATATTGGAGGACTTATGGCTTCGTTGACTTCCAAGATTCAAAAACTATCGCATACTACGCTTAAAATTTAAAACTAGATGTCCTGGACTCAAAAAAACCATAGAAATTTTAGATTTTTTGATTTATTCTCAAGTACGAGTAAGTACGAGGTACGAGTACGAGGTACGAGGCCTAAAATAAGGGTAGTACGAGGTACGAGTACGAGCAAAAAATAGGGGTGGTACGAGGTACGAGCAGTGATGCGGGGGTTCCGGTTCCGGTTCCGGAACCGGTGCGGTTCCGGTTCCGGAAGTGGAACCGTGGAACCGGTAAAGGTCCGGAACCGGTTTAGAACCGGTTCCAGAACCGGTTCCAAAGATACACCCCTAATGATGGGTAAAATCAGAGAAATGGGCAAAAGATGGGAGTAGTGAGAAGAAAATGAAGAGAAAATTGAAACGGGTTAATAAGATTCTCTTTCCTTTTCTTTCTGAATGTTGACTGGATGTGTGTTGTGTTCTTAGTTTTGAGGCAGGGTGGCCCTTTTACCCTATTTATAGAGGATTTTCCCTATTTTTGACCTTTTCGCCCTATTTTTTCCCTATTTTCTCATTTGCCATATTTTTGCCCTATTTTTACCCTTTTGTAAAATTTTAAAAATTCTTAGGATTTTGTAAAAAAATGGTAAAAATGAAGGATTTCTGACTTCCTGGCCTTCCAAAATCCTCAAAATTTTTGCCTGCGGCGCAAAAAAGGAAGAAATCTGGCTGCTTGAGCTCCAAAATCTTCAAAATTTTCGCCTGCGGCGCTAAAAATGGAAGAAATTTGACTTCTTGGTCTTCAGAAAGTCTCAAAATTTTCGCCTTATTTGAAATTTTAATTATGTTTAAGCTTTTAAAGCTATGCCCTAATTTTTGCCCTATATTTGGCCGATTTCGCCCTATTTTTGCCCTATTTTTGAGTGGCTTCGCCCTATTTTAGTGTTTTGGAAGGGGCCACCCTGTTTTGAGGACTTATATGGGTATTAGGTTCGAACCCGGACTTAATGAATGAGTAAGTCAATGTTTTTCTTTGAGAAAATAAATTATTATAACTTATTCTTTAACAAAAAAGTTATCATATTTTTAAATAGATGATTTCTATGTGCTATGACTTCCAAATTTACCAAAATTTTCCCCTGCGGCGCAAAAAATGAAGATTTTTGGCTTAAGGATCTTCCAAAATTCTCAAAATTTTCGCCTGCGGCGCAGATAAGGGAAGAAATGGAAATGGAAGAATGTCCTTCCAAATTTAACAAAATTCTCGCCTGTGGCGTTTAAACAACTTTTCCGTTTAATTGTTGTTGTTCAATTGCGTCCACCCTGACCCGCATCCGAAATTTTCGATTCACCCCAAAAAATGTTTGGTCCCTTTTTCGATTTTCGGAGGCCTATAGTTCTGCAAGTTTTCGTCTCCCGCAAGAAATTCTTACATATTTGAACTCGTCTCGAAGAGACGAATTGAATGATATATACCTTGAGTTTGGATCCCTATACTGAAGTAAAGCCAAAATTTTTTGGAACCGGAACCGGTTTGGAACCGGTTCCAGAACCGGAACCGGGCAAAATTAAAAAAGCGGTTCCAGAACCGGAACCGCCAAAATTAAAAAAGCGGTTCCGGAACCGGAACCGGAACCGGGCAAAATTGAAAAAGCGGTTCCAGAACCGGGCACATTTTGGAATTTCCGCATCACTGGGTACGAGTACGAGGCCAAAAAAGGAGATGGTACGAAGTACGAGTACGAGCAAATTTGAAATTTCGAAGCACTGGTCCTAAGTCTGCTGCCTATGTCTGCCTAAGCCTATGTGAGACACATAATTTAAGATATAGCTTAACAAAATACACCTCTGTTTTCGAATTGAATGTACATATAAGGTTAATTCAATTTTAGAGATACTCTTCACGTAAAAGGATATTCTGTGCTTGATTTTCTCCATGCAATTTCTAACAAAAATCTGAATTATATTGGTGTTTGTTATTTTAATCTTGTTTTTAATTTAATAATTTAGCAAAAATAAGAGAGCAAAGCGATGTGGACAAGGAATATTTTCAAGAAATAGTTAACGGTGCATATCTACAAGAATATATGGGTGTTTTGGCATTAAATGCTGATTTGGGTATTGGTGTTTCGGTAATAAATCGAAATATTGCTTTTGGAATGTTGTACCGAAGAGATTTTCCTGTTAAATGTCGGAAGGAAAAGGTAAAATGGACTGGAAGGAATGAGAAGGGCTATCCGAAATTCGATAACCAGTCGCTGTTCGATCCGAAATACATTTCTAATAAATCTTGGAAATCTGATACAAAATTCTACTAATCTTTTATCTCTACACACCCCTGCTGGAGAAGTGTTATGGGGTGATATGTAATCGATCTAATAAGACTAAGATCATCTAATAAGACTAGTCTATCTAATAAGTTTTATCTGATATTAAGTTTATCTAGTTTTTCTGTCTAAGTTTATCCAATTCTATCTAACAAGCTTTTATGAACTTAATTTTATTCAATATTTCAGAAAAAAGTTACAACGACGGCTAAGATTATAAAACCAAATACGGTCAGCATTGTGAAACCTGAATTTGGAATGACAAGAAAAATAAATAGCATAATGCCAATAACTATGAAAACAAGAACGACCACTGCTTTGACGACTTATAAACCAAGGACAAGTACTGCCTTCACTCCGATTGTAGGTGTTACGATAAATTAGAGATGTTTTGCTTTGAACTTGTTTATGTATAGTCCTTCAAAAACATTGCCCCGAAATTAAAAATTTTACTTATAAATTATGTTCCATTGAGAGTAGAGCTGCGTCGAAATTTCGATTTTCGACTTTCGATTTTCGAATTTCGAATTTTTTCATAAAATTTCGATTTCGATAATTTTAGAAATTTGGTCTCTAGTTAACCCCCTAATCCTGTATATCCCTACGATCAATGATATCTCTTAAGACTTCCATTAATCCATTGAATTCCCTTATATCTCAAGATTAACCCTTATATCTCCATATTGCGGATTGCTTACTACTCTTTTAGTTATTTTAAAAAATTTCGATTTTCGACGTTTTTTTCTGCCGATTTTTGATTTCCGATTTTCGAATTTTTTTATAAAATTTCGATTTTCGACGTTTTTTTCTGCCGATTTTCGATTTCCGATTTTCGAATTTTTTTATAAAATTTCGATTTTCGATTTCGATATTTTTGGATTTCTTTCGATTTTCGATTTCCGAATTTCGAAGATTTTTTTATTTCGACGCAGCTCTGATTGAGACGGGATGTAAGATGTACAAATGTCAGCAAGTCTTGATTTTATGATATAAGGATTTAGATTGATAGTTATCTGATGTGATAACGTGGATATAAGCTGATATGGAGGGAACAAGTGATTATTAATTTTTCTATAAAAATCTCTCGGAGCTAGAAAACACTAAGTTCGTGTTATATTTAAAAATATTTTCATTGCAGGATCAGTGCAAATTCTTTAACAATTCAAAATTAATCGAGAAGTACGCCTGCAAGTAAGTTTATAGAAAATTTATATATCACGTCTAAGGGATGTTTAATTGTTAAATTTTGTTGAGATAAGTTGGGGCCGGTAGAATTGTAGGAACGATGCCTGCCTGAGGGATAAACTTAATATGTTGTATTTGAAAGATGGGTGATATTTATTTTATCCATCCATGAAAGTCATCAATCACTAATTGTTATTTTCATGTTATCGGCCCACATTTTTAGTTTCTTTATTCCTATCCCTTTTTCTTAAATACCTACATATGTATCTACAGAAAGGTCAGACTTCATTCCTCCTCAAATTTCACTCCATCTGAGGCATATTCTTTCGAGATATCAATAACGAAAAGAATAATAAAAACCAAATTTGAAAGATAACTTATTGTGAACTAAATCCCTGTAATGGACCTTCTCTACTTGAAATTTATGTTTAGACATAATTACTTCCTTGCAGCAGGAAAAAGCCTTTTTAGCGAGGATTTAGCTTCATAATTTTGATCAAATCTAACCGAACATGGTATTTTTCGACCCAGCTCGAAGAGCTCTTTCGCATGATATGTAATAAATTATATATCAATCAAAAAAAGCACAAAATGGTCAGTGAAACGTGAAAAAAGGGAAGGGCGACTTCCAAACTATTACCATAATGTTGCTACAGAGAGATGGAGTAATTGAGGAAGTCTGACCTTTCTGTACATATTAAGAAAAAATAAAATGGGGGAAAACTAAATATGTGGACCGATAACAGGAAAGTACCCTATAAATTAATATATTTTAATATTTTAGTTGTGGCAACGTATTTATGCTAGATTTAAACCAGTATGTTTATAAATCTAATTCGTCTTATGAGTCCAATTTTAAAAAGCTCGAATTTTGTGTAAGAAAGTTGTGGTTAGGAAAACCATCAGAACCATAATACTCCCTAAATCCTTTTGTATTTTAAACATACATATATCTAATTAAGGTGTTGTGAAAACTACCATAAATGCATTTCAAAAATTAAAAATATTCACGATAATGATTGTGCTTTTTTACCGACAAACATGTATTATATCTCAATAAATTCATCCAACTATAATTGGAAGTGTAATGAATGTGAGAAATTTAAAAATGATTATTGTCAACACGAACATTGCTTGTGTGATAAGTAAATAAATAGTTTTTAGTTTTGAATATCCTAAAACAACTAAATCGGGACAAAACCAATAACTTATAGGCTTTGAACTGAAAAGTTTTCAAAGTTCTAGTACATATTTCCATTATTCAACAATTTCGATATTCCAATGATTTTTCGGTTTTGATTCATGTGAAAATTTTTAAGACAGCATTAAGTTATAGATGATTTAGAATCCATTTTAGGCAAGTTATTCAATGCTGGTCGCAAATACCCACTCCAAAGAAGAATAGTTTCGAACACGAAATAGTTGGCTGCAAATCAAAATTTATTGACGAAGTCAAAGATAATCCAAATATGCCTATTGCTAAAACTACAGCCATTCGACGAACACTTGAAAACATCTCGGATAAATTTGATAAAATTGCAAAGGAGCTAATACCTGGAAGTCTGGATTGGCCAACTATTGTTTATGTCGGTAAAGTATATGACCAGACTGAAACATTCTCAAATGATCTCGATTCCTTGTTCGACATTGTAAATTCAACCTTGTACGAAGCAAAGCTTAAATTAAAAAATGAAATCGCTAAGGCAGAAAAAACAAATGACGAGGAAGATTGGATTGCTGTGGAGATGGCTGCCTATGAATTTATTAAAACTTCAACTGCTGCAGTGTTTTTTGATGAGGAATACCAGTTGGCTAAAAATTCATATCTTACTTACCTTTTCAAAGGACGTATGGTTTTGAAAATAAATGGAGAAGGGCATTGAAAAAATAAATATTTTATTATTCATTTTAAATATTCTATTCTATTAAACTATTTAGTGGATTTAATTTGTTTTATTTACTAGTGATGTTTGAGAGTCAAAAAAAGCCGAGAGTCGAGACCGAGAATCAACCCCGATACCGAGACCAAAACGACAGTTGAGACCGAGAGATTATCACTTGATGTCTCTCTTAATCCTTCAAAAAAACCTTCAGAATCCACAGTATCCCTCTCAATACTTTTTAATCTTATTATATTAAAATTTATGCTCCATTTTTGGCGCCGCAGGCGAAAATTTTGAGAATTTTGGAGACTTTTCCTTAAAAAATTTAATATCAAAGTAACAAGGTCCGAGTAAAGTTGAAAAAATTTCCGTCATTAGAGGTGTAAATTTAGTATCGTTTTTCGAGACCAAAACACCGTTACCAAGAGCTCAAAAAACCCGAGAAATTTCTCGACTCGAGAGTCGAGACCGAGAGTCTCGAACATCACTATTATTTACTATGAATTATCCATCTTGGAATTTAACTAAGGTGGCCACTATAATTTTTCTATTATAAATCGTATGTAATAAAATGTTAGTTTACCGATATTGTAATTTTTCGGTTAACTATGGTCGTATTTTCAAGTAAATCATTGAATTATATGAATAATTTTGTAAATTATTTTACTTTAATCGAATAGTGTTGATTTTCTCCTATTAATCTTGAACTATTTTCCAGTAAATAAGTAAAAGGATCAAAAAAGATTACTTTTATTTGCATATTTTTTATGTTTCCAATTTCCCGTAGGGATTTTTGTGAAAAAATTCAATGAAATTCAATGTAAAAAATTCAAATAACAGCTTTATCAGAATTACAGATTTTAAGGAGAAACAAATTTAAAGAATAACAGCTTTGGAATTTTTCAATTTTGGGTTTGCCAGACAATCTAGGAATTTTTTCAATTTTGGGTTTAAGTGCAAAATGAATACAAATGAATGAAACGGTACTTTTCTGTTATCCCCCACCATTTTTCCTTTAACGAACTTGATCGGCTATAACTTTTGTATGCTTGATCCAATCCTAATGAAACTCATATCAATCATAAGCCCTCGATACTATCTTTTACTCAAATGGATGGATCAATTCTGATTACTCTTGAAAACAGTTTCAAGTCGTTAAGTCCAAGAAGCGTTGTTTTTCACAATTATCGACTTGTAACATTTTCAGAGTGATCGAAATTGATCCATTCAGTTGGGTAAAAGATAACTTTTGACTGATATGAGATTCATTCGATTGGATCAAGCCTAAAAAAGGTTATTTGGTAAAGAGGAAAATGGTGAGAGATAACCGAGATGTACCATTAAAACAAATAAATAGATTGTTTAGTATTTTATAAAAATCAGGGCTCTAACAAGCTACTAAACTTTTAGGGGCCGAAAATAAAGATATAAAGTTAAATTTTACTATAAAATGAAAGATTGAAGAATTAAAATATCAACTCATTTTTTTCTAATTTTTTGAAGATATTCCATAGACCAACTCTATTGTGGATCACATTTCCGAGTAAAAAACTAAAGGTGCAAATCCAAGTCTATACCTTCCGCATTACTACTACCAGCGCCATCATTCATTCTGAAAAGTAATTTATCCTTTACTACCTTTTTTATTTCAAAACAAACTCTAACGCGTAAGGAGTTCCGTCTTCATCAATTCCAATTAACCCATAATTTTTTGCTTTTTTAGCTTTTTTATTTTTTATAATAAAATTCCAAACGGCTTCTCCATGTTTTGAACGAACATGATATTTTAGTGAACCAAGAGATTTAAATGGCTCTGAACATATAAATACTGGACATCCATAACTGTTTTCATCTTTATGTATTTTTTCATGACTAACTTTGTCCCAGGAATTTATATAACTCTAGAAAATTTTGAATTTAATCTTCATTTAGTAGCTGTTCCCGTTAAAATAAACAATATTCATGGTGTATTAGAATCCAAAAACAATATTGGCGAATCAGTTGACAGTGAATGGGAACTAGGGTTGAGTGGGATCGGGCGGGATTATCCCGATTTTTTTAAATCCCGATCCCGGTTTTGTTCAATCCCGAGCCGAGATCGGGACCGGGATTCCTCGGTTTCAATTTTGGAACCAGAACCGGAACACTCGCATCACTGCTCCTACTATATTGTTTTTAGAATACCGTCCCCACTCCCGTTATCCCTAGCCTTTGGTACTGCTTAATAGCCATTTCCCCTGATCCTCAATAAAAAGAATTTCATTAAAAAAATATAATTATTTACTCTTTCACAATAAGCACATTGATGCATAATTCTATCTACTGTATGAGTAAGTTGATGTCTGGCATGATTGTCCCGCCGAGCAAATCTTTTACCACAACGAATACCATCTTGATTAACATACTAGGAAATATTTTAGAAAATCTGAAAAATTTTTTTGAAGCTAGTACCTCGCAAACAAAAGACTTTTCTCCAGTATGTATTTTAAGATGTTGTGATAAATTTTGTTTTGTACAAAAAGCCGCGTCGTTTCTTTCACAGCCTAGCCAGCGACATTGACAATGCTTATAAAAATAAATTGAACACAAACCAGACTTGGTAATGGACATGGATTTTGGTATTTACAGCGGATACGGATATTTACAGCGGATACAGACGGATATACGCAGGCATTTTTAACTTATCTAATCCATATCCATTACCAATCCTGACACAGGCGTTTAAAACCCAAAGTTGAGCTTTAAAAGTGATAGGCAACAAAAAATACAACAAAAAGCGGCTAGTCATACTAGTGCGGCTAGTCCCTGATTCCCGTCGTCTGTTCCAACCCTTTAACCTTCGCCTACATTGTTTATTTCTACGCCGGATAAATTGTAATTCTTGTGCACGTCAACATCAGACAAATCTCGGACACCTCCGGTCGTAACAGATAATGACAGTGATGGGGACAATACTATCGTTATAAAGCTATTGGCTTCCAAGCAGCGGCTTTTTTAAAACCTTCATATAAATTTTTCTTCTTAAATTGAAATTTGTTTGGGTCTAGGGTTAGAGTACTTAGAAATTGACTTTTGGCACAACATCAATAGAGTCAATAATAACCTGTTCCATTATTCCATGCTGTTCGACATGTTTCACAAAAGTATTTTCATCAACAAAACTTTGTCCACAATTGTCCCATTCACAATAAAATATTGTAGGAGAGCCTAAAGTTAACTCTGGGAAAGATGAAGAGCCTTCTTCTCTCGGTCCTCCTCCTTCAGAATAATTTTTTAAAAGGAAAAATAAAATAACAATTGCATTGAATTTTTGTTTGAACATTGCAATATTTTGCTTTAAAGTTTTTTTTTAATTTTTAATTAAAGTGATTCCATTAATAATCTTTACTTATTTTTAAAGGCAAATTTTGCTTCTCTCACTCCCTCCATTGCAAAAAAATGAGGTAGGAGGGCATTTCACCTAAATTGCTTTTCCGAAAATTTTTTTAATTTTGTTTTTTAATTGTTAATTTTATAGCAATTTGACAATGTACAGGATGCTTGGTAGAAGCTTTTGTTAAGTATTAAAAAATTTAAAAATTCCCTGATATTAAACGAACTTTATCAAATAAAAAATCCGTTCCTAATCTAACTCTGAGTTACATTCGCTTTGGCTAGGGTTAGGGTTTTAAGGCCGGCCCGACCGAGTCTTTTTTAGACCAAAATTCGATGCCCGACTCGTTCTTTCGGACCGGGCAGGGCCCCCAACACTACTTGCGGCATTCAAAATGAAAGGATTCTAGATTTATACATCCTTTTGAACTGAACTCCCTTCGAACTGTTTGTAAGGAAAAGAATATCATGATACAGGCAGCCATGTATAGATAAATTATCACCTATTTTCACATTCAGAATTCTCAATACTTGTATAAATTTTGAGAAATTTCAAAATCTATTCGGCAAAATATCCAAGCATTTTCCGTGAGATGTATCTTCATTGATATACACTGCAGAATTACATCAGGTTTAGACAAGGCAAAGTGATCGTAGATTTTTGATGATTTTTTTTCATGAAAGGGCAAAGAAACTCGTTCTTTCTCTACACTAATATCAGTCTAATTTGTTAATGCAAAAAATTTTTTTAAGGGCAAAAATAAAAAGAAATTTATGTTTGATGTGTATTTTAATATACTATTTAAATTAATTAATTTATTTATTTTTAAATAAGTTTTAAAAATTAAATTTTCAAATTTGTATATCCGTATTGGATTTTACAGATTAAAATCTGGATTTTTTAGGTCCAGATCAAACTCCGGATTTATTAAAAGTACAAAAATATTAAAAAAGTTTTTTTACACTTTTCATTGAAATTTATCGAAAATTTGAGGTCGTTCATCAATGCCCATACCTTGGGATTGAAGAGGATTAAGGGATTAAATATTGAAATGAAGTTTAAGGGTATTAAATATCGATATGCCGGGATTGGAGGAGAGGTGATAAAGCTGAATAGAGGGAGATTATCGGGACTTCGAAGGGTTTATAGGGGATTTGGAAAGATTAATGAGAATATTGTTAATCCTCCAACTCCCCTTGGAGGGATTAAAGGGGAGCTATAGATTCAAGAGCACCTTCCAGATTCTTCAAAATTACTTACTTTTGGAGAGACTTAATATTATAAAAATCAAGTTGTTGTTTTCGGTTGTGGTGAAAAATTGCCGCCATAATAAAATCTAGCCAAAATTGGTTAAAATTATAAAAAGTCTAACAAACAGAAAATTCTTTATGCAAAATGAATGGAAATAAATAAATATATGGATTATAAAAATCATGATTGTAAAACTACAAAGATGAATAGTATAGTTTTTGGGGGTAATTTAAAGATAAAGTTAAATTTTACTATAAAATGAAATTTAAAAAAATTTAAAAGAAATGGTTTTGAAAATAACAATTTATGTTATGTGTTAAGGTTCTACTTGACTTTATGAATCCAAACAAAAGTTTATGAGTCCAAACAAATTTTATAAATCCGACATGTCTTATTATTCTAAGTAAAAATTATGGCTCTACTACAGTTTATGATTGCAATCACTGTTTCTGAGTCCAATAAGATTTTTGTGAGCTACTTGGGTAGGTCGTCAGATCAAGGCTGGTAATGGAAAAGGGGATAGGTTTATGTTAATGTCGTAGAACCCAGCGAACGTTGACTCCCGCGAGACGCGTGCCGAAAAACCCCGCGCGAAGCGCGGGGTTTTGCACAAGCGCCTTGCCTATGGTCCATAGGTCTAACAACATAATCCTATTCATACTTTGGTTTTGATAAAAATCAGGACTGTAAAAACTAATAGGTTAAATATTTGGGGGGAAATAAAGGATAAAGTTAAATTTACTTAAAAAATGAAAATTAAAAAAATTCTTTTAAAAATAACAATTCATGTTTTGTGGTTTATAAATATGCCGGGGAACACTTCTTTTGTCGACTCATTTGTTTTAAATTTAATGCCAAAGGCCCAAATCTGTGTTTACACCCTCATTAGAATTATCTTCTTGCATTAAATAATCTTCATTTTGATTGTTTTCTTGATGTTCTAAATCTGTTGGAAATAGTTTTAATTCTTCATGTTGGTATGCTGTATGAACCAAATGTTCTTGTACTCCTTGGGGTGTCTAACCAACCTTTAAAAGTTTACAAGCAAAATTATAATTAAAAGATTTTGTAAAAATTTTCTCTATCAGAATCCCGCTATTAATAACTTTGATTTTACAAACAAATATTAAAAAAGTAAAAGAATAAAGACTAAAACGGATGAAGAATTCCTAATATTCGAAACAGGACTAGAACCTTAAGTTAAAATTCCAACATTTAAAATTAAAAAAAAAATTTAAATAAGAGGATTTATAAAAACTTTCTTTATAAGAATCCTCCAAATAGTAACTAAATTTTCAAATTTAAAAAAAACTAAATTACCCAAATTTTGCCAAGAGGCAAAATTTTCATTTTACAATGGGCGTTTTTCTGGCTAATTCCATTGGGTCTTAAACTTAAAATTCTCTGTACTAAATTATAATTTAATTGAAAATTTCTATATAATATTTTCTCACATTAACTTCACGGTTTGGATTACTGCTGCCAGCTCCATCATTTGGCATGCTAAAATTTAATTTATCATTTCTAACTTTTTATTGTTGATTAACAAAAAGCTCCCACTATCAAAAATTATGTACATAAAATTAAAACAAACTCGTAAAGAGTTCCATCCTTTTTTATTCCAATTAGTCCATAACCATTTGCTTTTTTAGCTTTTTTATTTGCTTTAATAAAATCCCAAACATTTTGTCCGTGTTTTTTTCGAACATGTTTACTCAGTGAAGTTGGATCAGAATATTCTTGTTTTGGACACTCAAATACTGGACATCCATATTGGTTTGGATTTACATGTGTTTTTTCGTGTTTGACTTTGTCATCGTAATTTAAATAACTCTAGAAAATTTCAAAATTAATTTTCATTAAGTAACAACCCCGTTAACAAAGGCAATATTCCCAAGACGTAGAATATATATTTACAAATCTACTAATATTGAGAATTGCCTGTATAGGAACAGAGCTTCAGGAAATCCATACGATGTAAAATTTCCACTTCCGTCTTGGATAGCCCAAACAATCCGTTTAGTTCCCAATAAATCAAACTTTTATTTAGTAAAAAATATAATTATTTACGCTTTCGCAATGAGGGTAAGCACATTTATAAATAGTTGCTTCTCCTGCATGATCACGACGTTGATGTATTTCAAGATTTCTCTTTCGAGTAAAACCCTGATTACAAGGACCACCAATTTGATCAACATACTAAATACTTGAAATTTATAAATTTTTTGAAGTTAGTACCTCGCAAACAAAAGGTTTTAATCCAACATGCTCTCTAAGATGTTCTTTCAAATTTGTTTGTGGGCTTAAATAACTTGATCGTTGACAACTTGTCCAGCGGCAGTATACATGCTTTGGAAATTTTAATAAGTCAAAAACCAGTCTATTGATAAAGTAAACTTATAAGACATTCCCATTTACAAAAACTATAAAAACTCTTAGGATCATTCAATCCGATCGTTTAATATTGTTTGGGATGACTTTTTAAGATGGTTTTTATAGAAAAATTTATTTAAATACTAAAATACATTTTAGTATCGCATATTTCATATCGAGAGTAGATATACACAAAACCCCGATTATACCTCTTCCATTCCTATATGTTCATTATATACATGTTCCAGAAGAGTATCAGCATTATCAAAAACATGTCCACATCCTTCCCACTCACAAGAATGATTTCCAATTGTAGCTAAAGTGCCTGTTAGGGCAGATGAAGAGCCTCCTACTTCATATCTAATTAATATTTTTTTAATTAAAATTAAATTTTTGTATTAACCCTTGATTGGGTTGTCCATAATAATTAGCAGGGATTTCCGGTTGATAAACACTTGTGTCTCCTATGCTTTCCGCTATAGCTTTTTTCTTCTTCGGTGCTCCTTCAGAATAAATTTTTAAAATAAAAAATAAAATAACAATTCCATTGAATTTTTTGAACATTTTAATCTAAATTTTGATTTAAAATATTTTTCTTAGAATTTAAAAAATATTTAATTTTGATGACCGTCTGTAGTCAATAATACTCCTTTTGACATTACTAGAAAAACGTTTTTTGTTACAGGTGCAGAACCGGTGACCGTTAACTCCCTCTAGGCGCGTTTTGGGGAGAGGAGCTTTCCAACGCCCAAAGTTATACTTAATTCATTTTTGTATAACTTTGTCTAATCAAGTCGGATCGAGTTGATTTTGCTGCGAGCTCTGTTTATGAGCTTTATTGCATATTTGAATTTTGACTCCAAAACTGTCCTTGGTTTTCACTCCTTATTCGTCTCAGACATCAAGCTGATTGGAAGGACCACGTTTTGTAACCGACCAAGTATTAAAACCTTGCAATAAGTTAATTTTCAATTTTTTAAAATTCTATTTGCTCCCTAATTGTCGGGTCCCCATAAGTCTAATCCTAGCTTAATAAGCATCTAAAATTAAGAAAAAAAATTAATAAGACGTATTATGGCAACTAATATTTATAAAGAGCTATTTGAGAGGGATGGGCAATTTACAAGAGACTGCCAGGCTTTATCATTTAAAAATGGGAATGTAAGGACATTTCACAGAACATGCTTTTCAACGATCGTCTTTTAAAATTGAATACATTGTTAAAATAAACTCCACCGGCGAAGTTTCCTCTCAGCTTATCAAATAAAACAAAAATAAAAACGGTATTCTGTGGCGGTATGGATAAAATTAAAATTAAAACTTTGCGTATGAAACTCGTAATCAAGTCCCATCCAATCCGTTGCTATTTTTGGTAAGGGGTTTTTCCGAGCCTCATCTTTTTCGGGTCAAATACCGGATTGGGCCCCTAACCCTAATCTTTAACATATACACATATACTTTGTTGTCTGAAACGTCCACTGATGCTTTACCCTTCTTTGGAATAATTAACCTCCTCAGATTAATTACCAACTTTCGTTTAGGGTGAGGTCGCAATACTTACCTAGGATAATTTTTAAGCAAATAAGTTATTATAGTATTGTAGTTTTTTTTGAAAATTTCCAATCTATTCAGTGTAATGTCTAATGATTTTCCTTCAAATGTATCCCCATCCACTCAAAAATCTAAATTTAGAATTGATCTAATTGGCGTATGATCCCTCAAAAAAGGACAAATTAATGTGGAAAGCCAATATAGAGAAAGAAAAAATAAAAAATTGATTAGAAAAAAAAATATTAAAAATAAATTTTGAAATTAAAATTAGAAAAATTAATTTAAATTAAGTTTTTTTATAATTTTAATTAAAAAATTTTATTTAAAATTTGAATTCAATAAATCTAAAAAATACTTTAATTCACGGCACAAGAATTTTAAAATTAATTAAAAAATGTTTTTTCTCTATTTTTGAATAGTTTAATAAAGTCTCAATACTTGTGTCTGCGGACACAATTTTCCGCAGAATCTGTGGAATAATTAAAACAGGATTTCTGTGGTTTCTGTGGATTTTGCCATTTTTCCATTGTGGATTCCACAATTCCCATTGTGGACCATTTTGGAGAGACTTAATATTACAGCAATCAAGTAATTGTTTTCGGTTGTGGTGAAAAATTGCCGTCTTATAAAATACAGCCAAGAATATCGATTATCGAAAAATATCGGTTTTTTAACATCGATATTTTTCGATATTTTTTCCGGACGGGGGAAGTTGTACCAATGACAGGGGAAGTTGTACCAATGACAATGACAGCCTTAATCCGTTGACAGCCTTAATCCCTCCAAATCCCCTTATACATATCCCTCTTACTAATTTTAAATCCCATTAAACTGTGGGGACTGATATACAAGGGAGACTGAACCGTGCAGACTGATGACTCAGGCAATTAGAGCCGGACCGGATCCCGGAACCCGGATTTGGGACAAGGACTCCGGAAAACCGGCCGGAGTCCGGTTTGGAGCCGGTTACTACTATTTAATGTAAAAGAGAAATAAAACTATGCCAATATATTAAAATTTAAAAGAAATTAGGTAATATCGAAAAATATTGAACAATTTATCGTTCGATATATCGGTATCGATATGAAAAATTTTTCGTTCGAGAATATCGATATCGATATCGAAAAATATCGATTATCGAAAAATATCGAAAAAATCAAAAAATTTTTCGTTCGATAATATCGATATCGATAATCGAAAATATCGTTATCGATATATCGATATTTTCCATCGATATATCGTATCGATCCGGTCTCTAGTTAAAATTATAAAAAATATAAAAAACAGAAAATTCTTTATGCTAAATGAATTGAAACAGATGATAATAGATGGATTTTTTAGTATATGAGAAAAATCAGGAATGAAAAACTACAAGATGAATATAATTTGGGGGAATTTAAAGATAAATTTAAATTTTACTATAAAATGAAATTAAAAAAAATTTCAAAGAAATCCCGTTTAAAATAAAAATTCATGTTTTGCGTTTAAAATAGTATGTCGAGGAACAATCCCATTGTGGACTCATTGTTGGGAATTTAATGCCAAAGGCTCAAATCTGTTTTTATATCCTCATTAGGATTAAAATTGTCTTGCATTAAATACTCTTCATTGTGATTGCCTTGTTGATGTTCTACATTTGGTGGAAATAGTTGTAATTCTTGTCCATGTTGGTATGCGGGACTAACAAAATGTTCTCCTTGGTGTGGGTATGTTGTCTGACCAACCTTTAAAAGTTTAGAAACAAAATTATAATCAAAAGTTTTGTAAAAATTTCCTTTAATAGAATCCCACTATTAATTACAAATTTAAAAAATCTTCGAACGCAACAGAGAATTTTGCCAAGAAACGAAATTGACACTTTTAAATGGGACGTTTTTCTGGTTAATTAAACTGTATACAATTTAATAGAAAATTTCTATTTAAAAAATATTTTCTCACATTAACTTCACGGTTCGCATTGCTGCTGCCAGCACCATCATTTGACATGCTGAAATTTAATTTATTCATTTTTAAATTTTTTTGTTGAGTAACAAAATAAATTCCATTATCAAAAATTATTTACATAAAATTCAAACTAACTCGTAAGGAGTTCCATCTTCACTTATTCCAATTAGTCCATAGCCATTTGCTTTTTTAGATTTTTTATTTGCTTTAATAAAATCCCAGACATTTTCTCCGTGTATTTTACGAACATGGTTACGCAGTGAAGTAGGATCAGAATATTCTTGTTTACAATTAAATAATGGACATGCATAATAGTTTGGATCTTTATGTAGATTTTCATGATTATATTTTCCAGTCGAAGTTTCAAAAGTCTAGAAAATTTAAAAGTTAATTTTCATTTATTACCAACCCTGTTAACAAAGGCAATATTCCCAAGAAGAGGAATATTGGAGTATCTCATTCTCAATAAAACAAACATTTATTTAAAAAATAAAATTTGAAAAAAATATTTACAAATCTACTAATATTGAGAATTGCCTGCATGGGAATACAGATTCAAGAAATCCATACGATTTAAAATTTCCACTTACATCTTGGACAGCCCAAACAACCCCCTTTTGTTCCCAATAAAACAAACATTTATTTAAATATACTAGCGGAGGGGGTCGCCCTTCGGGCGAGCCCCTTCCGCTAGCCAAATTCTAAACATTACAATTCTAAACCTTTATCAACTATTAGCTAAGATTTTCAACCATTAACTATTAATATCTATGTCAACTATTAACTATTAGCTAAAATTTTCAACTTTCACTATTAACTATTAATATCTATTTCAACTATTAACTATCAATTTTCAACTATTAACTTTTAACAATGTCACTCATCTATCTCGCTCATTACCGTTTTTTCACTCATTGTGGGACCGTTTTCTCAAGCCTATTGACTTTTTTCTATTGACGGGCTTTTATCTTGTTTATTGACGAATCCTTTTCTCAAGCCATTTGACAGACACTTGTCTCTTGCATGTTGCTCGAAATCTCTACTTCCCACTATTGTCAGACCCTTTTCACCCGTTTACTGGACCATTTTCGCTTACCAGTATTCCAACCATTTCCAGACCCTTTTCACCCAGTTACGGGACACTTTTTACCCACCATTATTCCAAACATTTCCAGACACTTTTTACCCATTTACAAGACCATTCTCGCTTTCCATTATTCCAACCATCGCCAGACCCTTTCACCCATTTACGGGAACCTTTTCGCTCACCATTATTTCAACCATTTACAGACTCTTTTCACCCAGCCATGGGAACTCACCCAGTTACGGGACCCTTTTCGCTCACCATTATTCCAACCATTTCCATACCCTTTTCACCCAGTTACGGGACCCTTTTCGCTCACCATTATTTCAACCATTTATAGACTCTTTTCACCCATTTACGGAACCCTTTTCTTTCCAACATTAATGAAACTCTTCCCTCACTCTTCTATCAGACGAACAACAAAATAAAACTTAAAAAATTGATTAAAAGAAAAAGCACAAAAAACGAAAAAAAAAAAATAAAAAATTTCAAAAAAATCAAACCAAATTCTAAAAAATTCACATTCTTTCTTTACTTCCCTAAATACACACTATTTTTCTTTCTAAATAAAACAAATTTTAAAAAACAAAAGAACAAAACAATTAAAACACATCTTAAATACAGTTAACAAACAAAAAAATAAAAAAAAAATCCAAAAAAACACAAAACAACTTCTAAAAAATACTCATTACATTCTTTACTTCTCTAAACACACACTATTTTATTTTTGGGATATTTTGTCATTTTTAAATAAAAATTAAACACAACGCCAAACACAGCAAAATTTAAAGCTGCGGACAAACACACAACAATTCTAAAATTTAATATAGGATATATAATTATCTACTTTAACGCAAGGAGGATAAGCACATTTATAAATAATTCTTTCTGCTGCATGAGTTTGTCGGTGTATTTCAAGATTATTCGACTGAGTATAGCTCTTGTCGCAACGAACACCATTTTGATCAACATACTGGAAAGGAATATATTAAGAAATCTAAGTTTTTTTGAAGCTAGTACCTGACAAGCATAAGGCTTTTCTCCGGTATGCACTACAATATGTCGTTTCAACTTAGATGGAGCAGGAAATTCTTTTTTACAGTCTTTCCAGTGACACTTGTTATCCTTTAAATTTAAAAAAATTAATATCAGAGAGGTGACGATGGTTCTATTCTTTCTCTCATCCAATGAATTTTTCAACCGCAGGAGTAAAATACTAGAAAGGTTGATAAAGAAAAATAAAACCACCAGTTGAAGTTTAATTTAATAATAAAAAGTCCACTGAAAAATGTCTTGATACGTGTCAAGAATTATTGACCTGTGACATTTCTGCATGCATTTTAACGTGCATCGCAAGAATATCTTTGTTATCGAAACCTTCTACACAATCCCCCCATTTACAAAAATATGTAAATGTTGTTAAAGTGAATGCTGGGGCAGTCGAAGAGCCTCCTTCAGAATAATTAGCATTCCTTAATATTTTTTAAATTAAAATTAATTATTTGTATTAACCCCTGATTGGGTTGTCCATAATGATTAGTAGGGATTCCATGTTGATAAACACTTGCGTCTTCTATTCTTTCCACTAAAGTTTTTTTCTTCTTCGGTGCTCCTTCAGAATAATTTTTTAAAATGAAAAATAAAATAACAATTGCATTGAATTTTTTTAGCATTGTAATTTAAATTTTGATTTAAGAATTTTTTCTTAGAATTTAAAAAATATTTAATTTTGAGAACCTTCTGTAGTCACTAACAGAGATGAATCGGAAATGACTAATGTACCGAAAATCGGAACTGTCGGAATTCCGATTCCCTCTAGTCACAGATACTTTCTTTTGACTTTAATTCTTTGGCTATTCTAATTTTTCCCCTTCTAGCTTGCATTTTCTTATAATGTGTAGGGAAAGAATCATTGACAGCAAAAAAGGGAAATTAATCTGAGCTTAAATATAGGGGGACGGCATTTCATAGAATTTGCTCTGACTGAATTTATAAATTTTTTAAAAATGAGAGGCGGATATCTCGGCCCATTTTTAAAAGGAAATTCTAAGGGCGGGATAATTCATATCCCTCTTCTTATTACCAAAATATTGAGCTAAGAGAGCATTTTATCTATTTATTCCTTTAATTTTTTATCTTGTTTGGCTCTACATGTGCTCCATAAGCATATAAACGTCCCATGAGAGATTATATGCGTCCCAAAAATACATAGCATATCTGTTGGATAAATTAACTATCATTCAGATTTACAAGTAAATTATTTTATAATAATTATTTTGTTTCCGAAAATAATTTAAATAAATTCTTTTTCTTACAAAATTTTTTGAAATACCCTGTCGCTGTTGGGATGAAAAGGTTGCGTGATGCGCGACGGTATTAACCGCAAGATAATTTATTTATTTATTTATTTATTTAATACGTAAATTAATACGCGTCCACAATTAAAAAACAACAAATTAAATTCAATAAAATACAGTGTCATTATTGGAAATTATAGGTTAGGTGGGAGTATTATTAGAACGAAATTTGGAAAAATTAGAAATGCTGAGTTTTTTTTTAAATTTATTTTCAAAGACTTCAGTGATTAGTATATGTAAATAATTTCTAGACATTTAATTTAATACTTCTTGTTTTTTTTTTTGAATACAATGTCAAGTTAAGCAGCAAAACCCTTACCGAATTAGTGTTAAGGAAGCCTATTCTGACCGAGCTACCAGATGAACTGGCGCTCATCAGCGTTGGCTGATGTGCGTGCCTCTTCTTGCCGAGCTACCAGATGAACTGGCGCTCACAAGCGTTAGCTAGATGCCAAAGCAGACAAGATTACATTGCTGTAATCCCCGTGGCCCAATCGATAAAGTGCAAGACGATTGTTAGGCACATTGAGGGGCAAAATGGGTATTCGGCAGGTATTTTGTGTGCTTAATATATATTGTTATGAAATAGAAATTTTTTTCCAAGTAGATAATAGTATTAAATTAATTTATTTTGTAAGTTTTAATCCAAATTACTGAAGTCTCTTTTTTTTTAAAACGATTCTTTTCCTCAACAACTAATTTAAAAGGGAAAAATTTCAAATAAAATTTATGTATTTTTTGAAAAAATTTTCTGAACTTCTAAAAAAAATTTTTTTTTTGAAAATTTTTCTAAACTTCTTTTTATCTCTGTCAGTTCATTTTGCTAGAACAAATAAAACAAAATAAAATTAGAAGCTGATCTCTAAATTGAAAAGTGATAATTATTTTTTTAATTAAATTATGTTAAATTGACTTAATTTAATTTAAATTTTGATTGAGGAAAGATCGATTTTATTTAGACAAGTACGAAAATTTTGTATTTTTTGATGCTTAAAAAGTTCATTAGGAAGTTTTGGATATATTCTAGCCATTTTTTCAAAGAAAAAATGGTGCCTTAAATTTAAGTTTGAATGTGAAGAATTAATTTTTATTTGATTTCTGGTATTTGACTTAGTTAATTTGGGATAATGAGATTTACCTATGCTTATGTATCCGTGAATTATTTTGTGATAACACATAATATCATTAATTAAAAATCTATCTTTAATGGATTTAAGATTTAAAATCATAAGGAGATCTTCATATGAAGGTTTAGTTGGATAGAGATTCTGAAGTCCGCGGAAATATATAATTTTAACCGCCATTTTTTGTACGTCTTCAAGTTTTTTTATTTCTGATTTGAGGTAAGGGTTAAATAATTGAGAAAATGATTCTATAATTGGTCGTACATAAGAAGTATATGCTTTTGTTAAAAAATTAGGATCATTCGATTTAATTGCTTTGAAAAGTGTGAAAAGTCGAGTGTAAGCTCTTTTTTTAATATAATCAATATGAATAGTCCATTTTAATGAAGATGAGGTTAAAATTCCTAAATCGCGAACAAAGGAAATTATTGGAGTAATCTTGTTATTGGAAATATAGTAAGGAAATTTAGAGTTATTTTTGCCCAAATAAAGGACATTGCATTTTTTTGCTGAAATTTCTAACTCGTTTTCAGCTGACCATATTTCAATTTTTGAAATACAATTTTGTAGAAGAAAACGTTTGTTACAATTGGAATGGATTAAATATGCCTTAAAATCATCAGCAAAAAATTTGAAAATTATATCATGTGTGGCGCAGAATTTGACTAAATCATGGATGAAGAAAATAAACAAAATAGGGCCAAGGACAGAACCTTGAGGGACACCCATATTACTTGTATGATTTTCAGAAAAAGCATTATTTATTTTGACAGAGTAGGTACGATATCTTAAGAAATTTTCAATCCAAAATAGTAGTGGATTACCTATAACTATATTTGTGAGTTTTTTTAATAAAATAGTATGAGAAACTTTATCAAAGGCTTTTATGAAATCGAAGTAGATAATGTCAACACAAAGATTTTCATCAAGAGCCTTAGTCCAGTCATCATGTGCTTCTAATAGTTGAGAAACAATAGATTTAGATTTAATAAATCCATGTTGAGATGTAGGTAAATATTTTGTTATGCGTACAATTAAGTTATCTTTAATAATTTTTTCCAGAACTTTAACTAAGGTACAAGTTAAGGCTATAGGTCGATAATTAGATGCTAGTGATTTGTCACCTTTTTTAAACAATGGTATAATGTTTGAATGGGTCCAAATAGAGGGTAAGGTGCCTGTCATCATTGAGTATCGAAAAATTTGAGTTATAGGTTGAGTTAAGCTACCTGCACATTTTTTAAGAATGTAATTATTTAGGCAATCGGGTGAGGTGTTAACTTTAAGTGTTAATTTTATCAATTTATCGAAAACATCAGCTTCAGAAATATCAATGTAATTAAGAGTGTTAGTATTTAAATTTTGTAAATTTAGCGGGTGAGGCAAGTTTTGTTTGTGAAATATTGATTTAAAGTAAAGTGCAAAATAATTTGCTTTAGCTAGATCGGTAGAGAAAACATTATTAGTTTTAATGTCAAGTATGGTAGGAATATTAAAGGAGTTAGACTTAACTTGTGAGGAAATATAATTGAAAATTCTTTTGCTATTTTTACTTTTTATTAATTTATTTTCTCTGTATATTAAGTATTTTTTAAGTTCTTTATTAAATCTTTTATTGACGTAAAGAAATTTAGATTTTATATCTGCTTTATGTATATCCTTCCAGAGTTGAGCACGATAAGTATCGATTTTTTGCAAATGATTTGGAAGATTAAGAGATGAACAATTTGTAATAGGAATGAAATTTTCAATAAAATTTTTTGTAATCTGGGTAAAAGTAGAGTATATTGTATCTAAATTGTGCGGAAAGATAGATTTAAAAATATTGTTCCAGTCCGTATTAGCAACAGCATAGTTTAATGAATTGTAGTCTCCTTTTAAGTAATTTAATCGATAGTATAATTCAGATGGTTCATTTTTAAAGGTGACGGAAAATGAAAAAGAGGAGTGATCTGATGAAGACATAGGCGGAAGGGACAGAATGTCATCTATTAAACCAGGATTGTTAGTAATTAAAAGGTCTAATATATTTTTTGATCTAGTGGAAAAAGTAATTAGCTGATGTAAATCAGCATTTTTAACAAATTCTTTGAAAATATTATTGCTATCATTATCAGCTAGCCAATTAATTGAGGGGAGATTAAAGTCACCGGTAATAATTATAGGGTATGAAACTGAGAGTAGATCAGTTAGAATAGAAATAAGATCAAAAAGAATAATATCGGTAGTTTTTGGCGGTACATAAGCATTTATGAATCTCATTTTATGTCCCAAACCGTTTATTATATCGAGGCAAACAATCTCAATGTTTTTTAAAGTTTTTTTTGAAAATTTGATTAAATTGACCGAAAATATGTTGGAAATAATAATAGCTACGCCACCACCTCTGCTCTTCCTATTATGTCGAAAAATAGAGTAAGGAAGATTTTTTACCAATAATGAGTCAGGAATATCGTTAGTTAACCAAGTTTCTGTAATAAGGATTATGTTATATTTATAGGATTCAAGTAAAAAATGTAAATCATTTAATTTGTTTTTGATTGATCTTGCATTAAAGTAAATAATTTTAACACGTGGTCCAGGGTAATTTATTTGTTTAAAGAAACTTGGTTAAAAGCGCGAACGATTTTCCCCTTGAAAATTTTCCAAGGGGGTTCGCCGACATTTAATTTTGAATTTTTATCTCTACATTCCTTACGTAACTCATAGTCATGCTGACGCTCTTCTTTAGTCTGTGATGGTCGTAAATATACGCCAGAGAAGTCAGAAATATTACGAAGTGATTTAGAACGAGAGAGGATAAGGCGTTGGTGGTATGTTGTTGGCATCACCACTTTAATTGGTCGACCTTTCCCGTCGTTACGAGGCTTCCCCATCCGATAAGTTGTTATGGGATTAGTGGGAATTCCAAGAGAATCAATAATTTTATTTATTTTATTTGTGTCGTCAATGAAATTCTCTCTATCATTATTACCCTGAGATTCAGAAAGACCGACTATGACTATCGATCGTGCTTTTTCTTTATCATCAGGGGATAATGGAGGATTTTCATTTTGAAGCTTTTTTTCAATATTAGTAATGGTAGTTTGTAATGCATTAATTTGTTCGGATTGTTTAATTACGAGATTTACAAGTAGATTGATGGTAGAAATTAAATCGATATTAGGGTCAGAAGTATTAGGGGACGAAGGAGAGATACCAATTGATGTCAATTTATTACGAATCGTAGTCAAACGAGAATCTGAGTCATTATCTGAATCAGTTTTCTCTTGACACGAACGTTTTCTATTTTTATTTGGGAGAGTCATTTTTATTTTTTTATTGATTAGTTTTGAAAGGTGCATCGCAAGAATATCTTTGTTATCGAAACCTTCTACACAATCCCCCCATTTACAAAAATATGTAAATGTTGTTAAAGTGAATGCTGGGGCAGTCGAAGAGCCTCCTTCAGAATAATTAGCATTCCTTAATATTTTTTAAATTAAAATTAATTATTTGTATTAACCCCTGATTGGGTTGTCCATAATGATTAGTAGGGATTCCATGTTGATAAACACTTGCGTCTTCTATTCTTTCCACTAAAGTTTTTTTCTTCTTCGGTGCTCCTTCAGAATAATTTTTTAAAATGAAAAATAAAATAACAATTGCATTGAATTTTTTTAGCATTGTAATTTAAATTTTGATTTAAGAATTTTTTCTTAGAATTTAAAAAATATTTAATTTTGAGAACCTTCTGTAGTCACTAACAGAGATGAATCGGAAATGACTAATGTACCGAAAATCGGAACTGTCGGAATTCCGATTCCCTCTAGTCACAGATACTTTCTTTTGACTTTAATTCTTTGGCTATTCTAATTTTTCCCCTTCTAGCTTGCATTTTCTTATAATGTGTAGGGAAAGAATCATTGACAGCAAAAAAGGGAAATTAATCTGAGCTTAAATATAGGGGGACGGCATTTCATAGAATTTGCTCTGACTGAATTTATAAATTTTTTAAAAATGAGAGGCGGATATCTCGGCCCATTTTTAAAAGGAAATTCTAAGGGCGGGATAATTCATATCCCTCTTCTTATTACCAAAATATTGAGCTAAGAGAGCATTTTATCTATTTATTCCTTTAATTTTTTATCTTGTTTGGCTCTACATGTGCTCCATAAGCATATAAACGTCCCATGAGAGATTATATGCGTCCCAAAAATACATAGCATATCTGTTGGATAAATTAACTATCATTCAGATTTACAAGTAAATTATTTTATAATAATTATTTTGTTTCCGAAAATAATTTAAATAAATTCTTTTTCTTACAAAATTTTTTGAAATACCCTGTCGCTGTTGGGATGAAAAGGTTGCGTGATGCGCGACGGTATTAACCGCAAGATAATAGGGATTGTGTCGAGGGAAGTCCTCACTCCTTTAAAAGTTATTCAACTCTAGTGGGCGAGTAGATGGGGCCAAATGCTCCTGTAGTGGCGAGCTAAAGATAACGTCTTAGCAGGATAAAATATTTATTTCAGAGGGGCTTTAAACTAGGGTAATTAAATCGTTGAATAATAAAATGTGGAAAAATAAAGGAAATGCCTACAGGCAAAAAGCTGAAAGATAAAAAGGCATTTAAGTCAGGGCTTCGATCTCGAATTTTTAAAAATCCGTATATCTGAGTTAATTTGTATAGTTTCATCCTAAACTCTTCGAAAAACGTAAGAGCATATCAAGATGAATAAATCAAGTTTACAACTTTTTTACCCAAAATTAATTTTAAAAATCTAAAAGAAAAGAAATTCTTTATGCAAAATGATATAATAAGAAAAGAAATGTAGATAAACCAGGTTAACACTGCGAAATGAGACGGGATAACTAAAAGGGCCAAGTGAATGCTAAGGAATTTACTTTAATGTTTATAATTGGAATTTTGAAAATAAACAGAAGCGGCAAATGAAACAAGAAAAAAAGGCGAGAATAACTCTAATTAGTTAAATAAAGTTTTGAGGGACTAACATTTACGATAAATTTAAATTTTAATATAAAATGAATTTGGAAGAATTTTAAAGAAAGGCCAATTTAAAGGTGTCAACTCTTGTTTTGTGTTTGTTAAAAATATGCCTGGGAACAACCCAATTGTGGGCACATATTTTCGAATCCAAGGTTAAAGGTGCAAAGTCGTGTCTAAATCTTCATTATCATTTCTTTGGCTTTCTACATTTGTTGGTAATTTTTGTCCTTCATGGGGTTGATTTGATTGTTGTCCTTCGAGTATGTGTTTACAACAATCCTTTAAAAGTTAAAAAATAAAAATAAAGTTAATTGATTTATAAAAACTCTTCTTTATCTAAATCACCTAAAGAATGAAGGCGGAACGGAAGAACATCCCTAATAAATCGCAACAGGATTAGAAATGTTCGTAACACCATTATTTTTGCTGAGAAAAGTAATAAAATAAAATTTCTTAAATGTCAGCCCTATATAGAATTTTTTAAGTAAAAAATTAATTTTCAGCAAAAAGGCCAATTCACTCAAGACGCAAAAAATTAAATTCTCAATAACAGAAATTTATTTAAAAGAATACTTCATTGCAACCAGGATGGAACTGATGATGATGTTTGTCACAATTACCCTTAAGACTAAAACTTTTACTGCAATGAACACCATCATTAACATGCTTAAAAGGAATGATTTAAGAAATTAGAAAAAAAGTGAAGATGTTACCATGCAAACATAAGGTTTAAATCCAGTATGCACAACAGTATGCTTTACTAAATCAGATAATTGAATAAAGGGCTTCCCATTTCTCTTACAATCTGTCCAGCGACATATCCAATCCTTTAAATTTTAAAAGTTAAAGTCAGTGTGGGATTTAATCAAGGTGGGGATTTATAACCCCCATTCTCATGTTAGGTTGTGTATAGGAGTATAGGAAGAATTTATACATACAAGCTGTTTGTATAAATAGATCGACAAAAATAACTCATCAACAAGTTGATCAGTTAATTATGCATTGGTCTGAGATCTTTTCATGATGTTCCTATTGAAGCAAACATCTAACTTGTTTTTCAACAGTAGGTGCATAATACATAATAGGATTCAGATAAATGAATCAGCCAGACAAATTTAATGCTTGCTGATTTTTTAATATTAAAATGACCAAGGAAAAATCTCTTAATTAGTGTTAATAATTATTGACCTGTGAATCCTTTGCATGTTTTTTAACATGTTTAGCAAAATCACCTTCATTATTGAAAAGAAATAAACATCCATCCCACTTACATTTCAACCTTAATATTTTTTAAAATTAAAATAAATTTTTGTATTAACTCTTGGATTTGTTGCCCACTTGTTTCTCCTATTCCTTCCTCTCTAGTTCTTTTCCTCGATCCTCCTCCTTCAGAATAATTTTTTAAAAGGAAAAATAAAATAACAATTCCATTGAATTTTTTGAACATTTTAATCTAAATTTTGATTTAAAATATTTTTCTTAGAATTTAAAAAATATTTAATTTTGATAACCGACTGTAGTCACTAATACATACTTCCTTTTGACTTTTACATGAAAAACGTTTTTTTGTTACTGGTGCAGAACCAAGTGACCGTTACTCTTGCAAGGCGCATTTGCACAAGCGCCTCTCCGACGCCCATAGGTTTACTTGATTCATTTTAGTATAACTTTGTCTAATCAAGTCGGATCGAGTTGATTTTGCTGCGAGATCTGTTAACGAGCTTTATTGCATATTTGAATTTTTTCTCCAAAAATTTCCTAGTTTCCACCCCTTATTTGTCTCAGACATCAAGCTGAATGGAATTACCATGTTTTGTAACCGACCACGCATTAAAACCCGCTATAGGTTAATGTTCAATTTTTAAAAATTCTATTTAGCCCCAAAATGGCGGGTCCCCAAAAGTCTGATCCTAGCTTAATAAGCATTTAAAATTAAGAAAAAAGAAAAAATAAATTAATAATAAGTATTATGGCAATTAATATTTATAAAGAGCTATTTGAGAGGGCTGGGCAATTTACAAGAGACTGCCAGGCTTTATCATTTAAAAATGGGAATGTAAGGACATTTCACAAAGCATGCTTTTCAACGATGATTTAATTTCGGCTTTTGAAATTGAATACATTGTTATAATAAACTTAACCGGCGAAGTTTCCTCTCAACCTAACAAATAAAGCAAAAATAAAAACGGCATTTTGTGGTGATATGGACGATCGGTTAATAACTTTGCATATGAGGACTCAGAAAAGTTTACAACTTTATTGGGGTTAGGGTCTTTGATTATTCCGACGTTCGAGTTATTTTTTTCGGGCCTCATTTTATTGGGCCAGACCAAATCTAGTCTTTTTCTTTCGGACCGGATTGGGCCCCAACCCTAATCTTTAACATATGCACATATTCTTAGCTGCCAAAAACGCCCATTGATGGTTTACCCTTCTTTGGAATAATTATCCTCCTTCGATTAATTATCAACTTTAGTTAGTGTGAGGTCGTAATACTTATCTAGGATAATTTTTATTCCAATAAATTATTATAGTATTGTAGTTTTTTATGAAAATTTCCAATCTATTCAGTGGAATGTCTAATGATTTTCCTTCAAATGTATCCCCATCCACTCAAAAATCGAAATTTCGAAACAGCCTGATTTCACCCAACGTATCGCCGAGGATACATTTTTCCTCGCCTAATTAGCGCATGATTCCTCAAAAAAGGTCAAATTAATGTGGAAAGCCAATATAGAGAAAGAAAAAATAAAAAATTGATTAGAAAAAGAAATTAAAAATAAATTTTTAAATTAAAATTTAAAAAAATTAATTTAAATTAATTAAGTTTTTTTATAATTTTAATTAAAAATTTAATTAAAAAATTTTAATTCAATAAATGTAAAAAAATACATTAATTCGTTGGACAAGAATTTCAAAATGAAATAAAAAAATTTTTTAATTTTAATAGTTTATTAAAGTCTCAATACGTTATTTTCTTGACTAATTACCCTCGTTAATTATTTTTTAACTGGAGGGGGTAATTAAGTGAGTAAATACTGTATATTTTATTTTTTATTCATTACATGCCAGGGCTTTGACCGATAAATTGTGAAGTTTAAATAAAGAAAGTTTAATTTATAAGAGGGAAAATTTTTATCTAATGTTAACTATTCATCCTTCATTGCATATTTGTAACGAGCATTTAGCCAATATTTGTTATTAATTTTTTTATTTAACTGTGCTTGATTTGCCAAATCAACACTATTATTTAACGATCGTGTAGCTGCACGGGTCACCCATATTTATTAAAGTTTGATGTTAATCTGTTAATGGTGGCGGAGTATCTATTGCCTTGCGTCTAAATGAGTTGGCTTTTCAGTATGTGTCATTCGATTTTTCTAAAGATAATACCGGTGTTTCAGTAAGGGCTTCTGATACAGGTGTTGTTACTGGAGTCTTTTGAATAGAAGGATCATCAGATGTAGGCAAACTCTGTTATTGCAAGATCTTCGTCTTTGGCCTGAGTTGACCAGATATCACTATAGAAGCACTCAAAAGAGCCGAAAACAAAATTTGTGTCTCAAGTTTATATATACAAATTATAGCTAATTAGAAAGAGTTCGTCGATTGATTCAAATGACATTAGAATCAACGAAATTCGACTTGAATTCACAAAGATATGAGTAATCGGAGTAGTAAGACATCGTTCATTCTCTTAACAGGTGTTTTTTAAAGCAACCATATTTGCTTTATATCAAAACTTTTCTAGTTTCATCATTAGGGCGTGTCAAAATATGCACGGAAAATCCCAAAATATGCGCATATATATGCACCGAAAAAGGCCTAAATATGCACTGAAATAGACAAAATTTCCCAAAATATGCACAAGAGATGCAGCAAAAAACATTAAAAATGTGCTTCAAAAAATAATATTTTAAGTAAAACGATGATTTAGTCTTTAAAATAGAAATTTAGTGCACTTCTAAAAGATTTTAAGGACTTTAAAATTATGAAAAAAAATTTTCCAAAAAATTTCTTTAAAAATTTTTGAAAAAATTTTTTATTTTCTCAAAAAATAATTTTTTAACTACAAATTTTTCAAAAAATGCCTAAATATGCAAAAATTTTGGTAAAAATATGCAAAATTTACAAAAATATGCACAGATATGCAAATATGCACGGAAGTACAAAAATATGCATTAAGAACCCGGTCCCTAATCTTTGTATCAATGTAAAAACACCATTTTTGAGCGTTTCAGCATATCCGCATGCAAAATATGCATTTGCATGTTTTGACACGCCCTATTCATCATTAACAACTCTTCGAAAAACGTCTAAGCATATCAAGATAAACTAATTGAGGCTCTCACATTTTTTGCCCAAAATTAATTTAAAAAAATCTAAAAGACAAGAAATTCTTTATGCAAAATGAATATAATATGAAAACAAATCTAGATAAACCAGGTTAGCTAAAAGGGCCACTGAACGTAAGGAATTTTTGATTGGATTTTCAAAAAACCGGAGCAGCGGGCAAATGCAATTAGGAAAAAGGGTGAGAAAAAAATTAAAAAGTTAAATAAGGTTCTGAAGGAAAAAACATTCAAGATAAAGTTAAATTTAAATATAAAATGAATTTGGAAGAATTTTAAAGAAACCCCAATTTAAAGGTGTCAACTCTTGTTTTGTGTTTGTTAAAAATATGCCTAGGAACAACCCAATTGTGGGCACATATTTGCGATTCCAAAGTTAAAGGCGCAAAGTCAAGTCCAAATCTTCATTAGAATAATCGTTCTCATTTCCTTGATGTTCTACATTTGTTGGTAATAGTTGTCCTCCATGGGGTGGATGATCATATTGTTGCTGATGTCCTTCGGTTATGTGTTTACAACAATCCTTTAAAGGTTAAAACAACAGGAATATAATTTTTTATCTAAAAATCTTTTATCTAAATCCCCTAATGAATGAAGGCGTAAACGGAAGAAATATCCCTAATAATTATCGCGAGGATTAATTAAGTAACAAAATTACTTAATTCCAGGTAAATATTCCCCCCCCCCCCCCTTCCCAGTCCGAGTTTTAGTTGATCTACGAAATGATCAGTCATTTTTTCGTTTTCATAAACTTAAGAAATTTACCACCTATATTTTTATATTCCCTATAGTATTTTCTATTTAAAAAATACTTTATTGCAATGAGGATGGAACTTCCGATGATGTTTGTTATAATTCTTCTTAAGACCAAAGGTACTAAGACATTGAACACCATCATCAACATGCTGGAAAGTAATGTTTTATAAAATTAGAAAATAATTGAAGATATTACCATGCAAACATAAGGTTTTACTTGAGTATGCACTAAAGTATGTTCTAGCAAACCAGATGTACGATCAAAAGGCTGCATATTCCTATCACAATTTAACCAACGACATATTTTATCCTTTATATTATAAAAGTTAAAATCAGTGTGGGGATTTAAGATAAATAAAAATAATTCATCATCGAGTTGAGTGTGTGCTTTTTTCCTATTAAAGCAACCATCGAATGAATTTTTCAACAGCTGGGACATAATACATAATAGGAAAGTCGATTCATAAAAGTGAAAACCGCCAGTCGAATTTAATGTTTACGTATTGTTATATTTGTATTTAATATTGTTAATAATTATTGTGACCTCTGCCGTTCTCGCATGTTCTTTAACATGTAGATCAAAAACACCTGCATTATCAAAACGATATATACATCCAGCCCAATCACATTTCCACCTTAATATTTTTTGAAATTAAAATAAATTTTTGTATTAACCCTTGGGTTTGTTGCCCACTTGTTTCTCCTTTTCCTTTCTTCGGTCCTCCTCCCTCAGAATAATTTTTTAAAATAAAAAATAAAATAACAATTGAAATGAATTTTTTGAACATTTTAATCTAAATTTTGACTTAAAATATTTTTCTTAGAATTTAAAAAATATTTAATTTTGATAACCGTCTTTACTTGATTCATTTTTGTATAACTTTGTCTAATCAAGTCGGATCGAGTTGATTTTTCTGTTTAAAAATCCTATTTCGTCCCAAAAATCGTTCCCATTTATCGGGTCCCCATAAGTCTGACCTTACCTTAATAAGCAGTTAAAATTAAGAAAAAAGAAAAAAATAAATTAATAAAACGTATTATGGCAATTAATATTTATAAAGAGCTATGTATTTTAGAGGGCTGGGCAATTTACAAGAGACTCTGCCAGTCTTTATCATTTAAAAATGGGAATATAAGGACATTTCACAGAACATTCTTTTCACCGATGATTTAATTTCGTTTTTTGAAAATTGGTTTAAGCCGTCAGTGTATACATTGTTAACATCCTCTCAGCTTAGCCCTCAGCTTAGCAAAGTTCCTCTCAGCTTAGCAAATAAGGCAAAAATAAAAAAGATATTCTCTAGTGGTATGGACGATCGGTTAATAACTTTACATATGAGGACACAGAATCAAGTCCCACCAATTCGTTGCTATTTTTGGTATGGGGTTAACAACTTTTTGGAGTTGGGGTTTTTGATTATTCCGACGTTCGAATTATTTTTTTCGGGCCTGGTTTTTATCGGGCCAGACCGATCTAGTCTTTTTCGGGTCAAATTCGATGCCCGACCCAATCTTTCGGACCGGACCGGATTGGGCCCCCAACCTTAATCTTTAATATATACACACATTCTTTGTTGTCTGAAACGTCCATTGATGCTTTACCCTTCTTTGGAATAATTATCCTCTTTCGCTTAATTACCACCTTTAGTTAGTTTGAGGTCGCAATACTTACCTAGGATAATTTTTAAGCAAGTAAGTTATTATTGTATTGTAGGTTTTTTTTGAAAATTTCTAATCTATTCAGTGGAATGTCTAATAATTTTCCTTCAAATGTATCCCCATCCACTCGAAAATCAAAATTTAGACTTGATCTAATTGGCGCATGATTCCTCAAAAAAGGACAAATTAATGTGGAAAGCCAATATAGAGAAAGAAAAAATAAAAAATTGATTAGAAAAAGAAATATTAAAAATAAGTTTTTAAATTAAAATAAGAAAAATTAATTTAAATTAAGTTTTTTTATAATTTTAATTAAAAAATTTAATTAAAAATTTTAATCCAAAAGATCTAAAAAATACTTTAATTCACGGCACAAGAATTTTAAAATTAATTAAAAAATGTTTTTTCTCTATTTTTGAATAATTTGATTGTCTCAATACTTCATTTTCTTGAATAATTACCCTGGTTAATTATTTTTTACTTACTGGAGAGGTATTCACTGAAGGACTAGATGAAAATTTTGGTGAATTGAATAATCCAAATAATGATCAGATACTGAACCATCTCAGAGCGATACAATATCTATATATTTTTTTTAATATTAGCAAAAAAAACTTATTCAAAATTTAAAATAACAAGACCGAAAACACCCAAAAATTTTCTAATAAATAGAAATACAGGTTGTTTCAGATGAAAAGCACTATTTGAAAAATCCATAACTTTTTGCAGCTTTGACAGATTTTAATGATATTTGGTATTTTGTATCTATATTTTATGCAGAGTTTCGATCTCGAAATTTTAAAAATCCGCAATTTTGATCGAAAAATCTGCAAAAAATTATCAAACACAAATTTAGCGATTCGGCTCAAAACCGCTAATTATAAAAACACTTTAATTAGATTTCCACCCAGAAAATATTAAGTTTATTTACTTTAATAAAATTACAATTGATTATAAAAGTGTAGTGTGGAAAAGAATAGGACTGGTGAATGTTGAGAAAGAATTGAAGGAAAGGTGATTAAGGAGGAAAATGTGTTAGGAGAGAAGTCAAAGTGTTGAGAAAGGAGTCATTTAAATATAGCCACAACGATAATATATAACTTTAAGATAGTTATCTTGGATAAAGAATGCTTGGGAAATTTTTCTAATTATGACTAATTTTTAATTAAATATATTTTAATTAAAATCACTTTATGCATTATATTTTTTAACTTCAACAATTGAATTATGCACTTTTTTATTACTAATGATGATCTTAAGAAAATCCGAACAATTATCTGAATAATTACACTTGAATTTTTGTCGTCGAAAACGCCAAAAATTTTTATATCTTATTTTTTAGCGCCGCAGGCGAAAATTTTGAGGATTTTAGGCGGTCTTAGCAGAAAAATAATGACACAAGAAAATACAAAAAATCCTCATAATCTTCAAAAGACCACAAAAATCCGCAAATCCGCATTTTTAAAAATAATCCTCATCGCCTTATCAAAAAACCACAAAATGAGGAAAAATCCGCAGATATCGAAACTCTGAGTTTGTGGCATTTTTTGTCATAAAAATTATGTCTAAATTCGAACAGATTCAAACATATCAAGATAAACTAAATGAGACTCTCACCCAAAATTAATTTTAAAAAATCTGAAAGAAAAGAAATTCTTTATGCTAAATGAATATAATTTGAAAACAAATTTAGATAAACCAGGTTAGCTGAATGCTAAGGAATTTACTTTAAAGCAGGGTTCTCATCGACAAAATGCCCATCAAAAGTATCAAAATCTTGATTAAAAAGTAGATAGGGACTAAATTTCCAAATAAAAAGTACACTCCAAATTAAATTAGAAAATATTTATTCGTGCTCAAATCTTTTATATTTCTATCCTAAATTAATCTTTTCTAATAGTTTCTTGTTTCAACTAAGCATTTTTGAATTTCAATGCACTTTTGTGGCGCCGAAAGCACCAAAAAATCTATTTTTTGCGCTGCAGGCGAAAATTTTGAGAATTTCAAAGGCAGTAGGCCAAAAAATTCACTTTTTTGCCCAATGTCTTCCCAATTTCATTTTCAATCCAAAATGTTGATTTATAAGTAGATACTTTCAAAAAAGTACGAATGAGAACCCTGCTTTAAAGCTTATAAGGAATTTTGAAATAACCGGAGTGGGGGAAATCAAACTAGAAAAAAGGAGAGAACAACACTAATTAGTTAAATAAAGTTTTGAGGGACTAACATTTACGATAAATTTAAATTTTAATATAAAATGAATTTGGAAGAATTTTAAAGAAATCTCCAATTTAAAGGTGTCAACTCTTGTTTTGTTTTGTTAAAAATATGCCTGGGAACAACCCAATTGTGGGCACATATTTGCGAATCCATTGTTAAAGGCGCAAAGTCAAGTCTAAATCTTCATTAAATAATCGTCCTCATTTCCTCGATGTTCTACATTTGTTGGTAATTGTTGTCCTCCATGGGGTGGGTGATTAGATTGTTGCTGATGTCCTTCGGTTATGTGTTTACAACAATCCTTTAAAAGTTAAAAAGAACAAAAATATTATTAATGGATTTATATTTCTGGCTTCTCTAATAAATGAAGGTGGAAACGGGAGAAACATCCCTAATACTTCGAACGAGGATCAGAAATGTTCGTAACACCAAAATTTTTGCCGAGAAATAAACAAAATTTAATAATTCAGCCCTATATAGAAATTTTTAAAACGCAAAAAATTAAATTCTCAATAACAAATTCTATTTAAAAAAATACTTCATTGCAATGAGGATGGGACTGACGATGATGTCTGTCACAATTACCCTTAAGACCAAAACTTTTACTGCAATGAACACCATCATTAACATGCTTGAAAGGAATGATTTAAGAAATTAGAAAAAAATTGAAGATATTACCGTGCAAACATAAGGTTTTACTCCTGTATGCGCTACAGTATGATCTACAATATTACTTGTACGTTTAAAAGGCCGCCCATGTCTATCACAATTTAACCAGCGACATATAAAATCCTTTAAATTTTAAGAAAAAATCAGAGAGTTGATTTAAACCTCCCATATAGAGTTCGAAATTTGGAAAATGCCGGATCCGTTTCCGGATTTCAAAAATTATTTTTTATCCGGATCGGATTTTCCGGTTAAAATCTGGAACTTTGAATATTGAGGGATTGTTGAGGATTAATTGCTCTCATATTTTGTTGAGGGACATCAAAAGGTATATCATTGGATATAAGTGGATTTTATTGGGTTAAGAATATAGATGGTAAAAGCAACTAATCATCGAGTTGATCAGTTAGCTGTGCTTTGGTCTGGGCTTTTTTCATGATGTACCTATTGAAGCAACCATTCATAATTTTTTCAACAGCAGGGGTATAATACATAATAGGAAAGTCTATTCCGTGCCACGACACTTGCAGATATGACATTTGCAGACCCGACTTTTGCAGTCCATCTCTTGATGATAGGAATAGGATCATGTTACGAGCACAGAGCCCAGCGACCGTAGACTCACCGCGAGGCGTGTGCCGCAAAACCCCGCGCGAAGCGCGGGGTTTTGCACAAGCGCCTTGCCGACGCTCCATAGGTCTACGTTGAACATTTTGAACCTCCGTAAAAAAGAGAATTAAAATTTTTTTCAAAAATTAATATCTGCAAGTGTCGTTATCTGCAAATGTCGATCTGCAAAAGTCGTCCGCAAATGTCTCGTCTGCAAGAGTCGTGACCGTCTATTCAGATAAATGAAAACATCCGGTCAAATTTAATAATTATTGTGACCTGTGCCGTTCTCGCATGTTCTTTAACATGTAGATCAAAAACACCTTCATTATTGAAAAGATATATACATCCATCCCATTCACATTTCCACCTTAATATTTTTTAAAATAAAAATAAATTTTTGTATTAACTCTTGGATATGTTGCCCACTTGTTTCTCCTTTTCTCTTCTTCGGCCCTCCTCCTTCAGAATAATTTTTTAAAATGAAAAATAAAATAACAATTGAATTGAATTTTTTGAACATTTTAATCTAAATTTTGATTTAAAATATTTTTCTTTGAATTTAAAAAATATTTAATTTTGGTAACCGTCTGAACTTTTTCTGATCAAGTCGGATCGAGTTGATTTTAATTTTTTAAAAATTCTATTTTGTCCCCTAACTGTCGGGTCCCCATAAGTCTGATCCCCAAATGACGGTTAGCTTAATAAAGCATCTAAAATTAAAAAAAAAGAAAAAATAAATTAATAATAAGTATTATGGCAACTACTATTTATAAAAAGCTATTTGAGAGGGATGGGCAATTTACATGGGACTCTGCCAGGCTTTATCATTTAAAAATGGGAATGTAAGGACATTTCACAGAACATGCTTTTCAACGATCGTCTTTTGAAATTGAATACATTGTTAAAATAAACTCCACCGGCAAAGTTTCCTCTTAGCTTATCAAATAAAACAAAAATAAAAACGATATTTGGAGTTGTGATGGACGATCGGTTAATAACTTTGCATATGAGGACTCAGAAAAGTTTATAACTTTTTTGGAAGTGGGATTTTTGATTATTCCGACGTTAGAGTTATTTTTTCGGGCCTCATTTTTAAAGGGCCAGACCGATCGAATCTTTTTCGGGACAAATTCGATGCCCAACCCGATCTTTCGGACGAGACCGGATTGGGCCCCAACCCTAATCTTTAACATATACACATACTCTCTGTTGCCAGAAACGTCCGTTGATGGTTTACCCTTCTTTGGGATAATTATCCTCCTTCGATTAATTACCACTGTTAATTAGTGAAGGTCGCAATACTTACCTAGGATAATTTTTAAGCAAATAAGTTATTCTAGGATTGTAGTTTTTTTTGAAAATTTCCAATCTATTCAGTGGAATGTCTAATAATTTTCCTTCAAATGTATCCCCATCCACCCAAAATCAAAATTTAGAATTGATCTAATTAGCGCATGATTCCTCAAAAAAAGGACAAATTAATGTGGAAAGCCAATATAGAGAAAGAAAAAATAAAAAATTGATTAGAAAAAGAAATATTAAAAATAAGTTTTTAAATTAAAATCAGAGGGGTATTGTGACTTATAGGGGGTTTTTTTGGCTGGACCGATTTGGACAAATGAGGTGTCATTCGAAAGAGCTCGCCGAGCTGAGTCGATTGAGGGGCGAGTGAAGTCGATCCAACAATCAAGGACCGAGATACAGACCCCTGAAGTTTGAAAAAGAGAAGGGGGTAAGTACGTCCAGAGTAAGGGAGATAGGAATAGGTTTATGTTACTGACCCAGACCCAGCGACCGTTGACTCCCCGCGAGGCGCGTGCCGCGAAACCCCGCGCGAAGCGCGGGGTTTCGCACAAGCGCCTCGCCGACGCTCCATAGGTTTATGCTGACCATTTTGAACCTGTTTATCTTGGCTCAGAATCAAGATATCGAGCTGATTTTGGTGTCATTCGACTCAGCTCGACGAGCTGAGTCGAATGAGCTATTATTTGCATTTTCGAATTTTTCACTCCAAAATGAGCTACTCCCTCCTTCTCTTTTTCAAACTTCAGGGGTCTGTATCTCGGTCCCTGATTCTCTCGCCCCTCAATCAACTCAGCTCGGCGAGCTCTTTCGAATAACACCTCATTTGATCAAATCGGTCCAGCCAAAAAAAACCCCCTATAAGTCACAACATTCAATCAGAGAATTTAAATTAAGTTTTTTTATAATTTTAATTAAAAATAATTTATTAAAAATTTAAATCCAATAAATCTAAAAAAATACTTTAATTTACGGTACAAGAATTTTAAAATAAATTAAAATGTTTTTTTCTTTATTTTGAATTTTTTAATAAAGTTTCAATACTTTATTTACTTGAATAATTACCCTCGTTAATTGTCTTTTACTTACTGGAAGCTGAGAATTAATCGAGTAAATACGATATATTTTATTTTTTTATTCATTATATACAAGGCTACAAGAGATTTTTTAGCGCCGCAAACGAAAATTTTGAGAATTTAAATTTCATTTTTCAACCAAAAAGTTGTATGTATGTCTCTGACTAGACCCTTTTGAAATTTGGATAGACTTGAGCCGATGGCCGGTTCGAAAGCAACCAACATTTTGGTTGTTATTTATTTTCAACCATCGATACCTCTTTGGGTATTGACATTTGCATTACGGATTTTTTTTAAATAAAATAAATTTTTGTAAAAATTGAAAAAAATTTTTTATTCAAAATTTAAAATAACAAGACTAAAACCCTCCTCCAAAAAATATTCCCCTCACTTTCAACAAATAGAAATATTTTCAGGATTGTAAACAGTATCCTCATAAATTTCTTTTAAACGAGCATCTTTACTTCTCAATTTAGACATTAAATAATTTTTTGTAAATTGTTTGGTTGGGTCTAATAATTGAACATTTCTTGGGTCTGCCAAATTTTCATCAATAATACATCTACCGTCTGCCATTACCTTTTTTTAATAGAAAATTTTGAATAGAAAATTAAAATTTATTTTTTATAAATTTTGTTTTCAACATAAATCTTTCAGTTTGAATAACAGAAAATTAAAAAAAAGATTGGTTGAAATGAGTAGGATGTCGGTTCTGAAATTTTTCCAATATGTTGGGGAAATAGTAAGGGCATGCGAGTCTCGCAATAAAATTTTTGGGATGGGAGTAGTTAAAATAAATAAATTCCGACAAAACTAAGACAAACTGATTTAACTCCAAACGGGAAAATTTTCAAATTTAAAAATTTTTAAATGGTTTTTTTCCAAAAATATTTTAGCACATAAAACCACCTCTAAATTATAAACATCTTCAGGCCCCGGCTCTCCATTCGGAAAACTTATTGGACGAATTTCAATTAAATGTTTAATTTTCCAAAGTTGTTTATTATTTGATAATGTATTCATAAATATATGAAGTTCCCCAGGTTTGGGGTATTTTCCAAAAAGTTTACGGACATGATCACTAAAATAATTATAAATTAGTTAATTTTTAAATTACTTATTAAAATAATTTAAGGTTTTTAAACGACTTTTTAATAGAGAAAAATTTTGTTACAAAGCAAAGCAATAGTTACGGATAGGGTTTTAGGTTACAACTCAATCCTGAATGAACTAAAAAGCCTGAGATTTTTGGTTGAGCTTTTAAGTTAACAAAGGAAGCTGGAACAACTCTTCTTATGCATGAAAATTAACAAAGAATTTATTACAAATTCCATTTATAATAATTTTCACTAAAACTTCCTCAAATTTTCAGATTTTAAAAATTGTAAAGCAAATTCAACTTTCATAATAATGGTTAAATACCCCCCTCTCCCCATTATTTTAATTTAAAAAATTCCTTGCCGCAAAATTCCATCAGACTTTTCCAAATCTCTAAAAATCCAGGCAACCCAAAGCTTTGGAGGTTCCACCGGCATTGGATCCGGAAATGTTTCGCATTGTTCAGCCAACACATCCAAATCAACTCTGTTTACTCTATCATCTCGACGAGGCAAATAACGCCAAACTCGATTGTTTTTCCTCCAAACCCAACACTGTCTAATTACTTTAGCCATTCCTCTCTAAAAAAGTTCTTAGAAAATTTTAAAAATAAATATTCGAACCTCATAGGATTTTGGAATTGAAAATCTTTTTCCTTATAATGAGGTGTATATTAAATAGGAGAGGGGGTATCAATGGAAGCAGATTAAGGTACTACAACCCAAGGTACCATGGGCGGCGGCTTCGTGGGGGAAACCCTTAGACCCTCGTGGCCAAATTTTAAAAAAGTGCTTTAAATCGATGTATGTATATAATATCTAATAGCATTTTATAATGAGGTTCGACTGTATAAAAATTCAGAAAATATTAACGTGTAAAACAACGTCTCATTTTATTAAGAAAAATAACTTTAATGAAAAAATTTTATTTTTAAAAAGAAAAACAGTCATAATTTTAAAATGAAAAATAAATGTAAAAATTAAAAAAATGTGTTGATGGATTTTATATTTGTATATGGAAATTTAAATTGAAAGAATTTCTATTTAAAAAATTTCTGGTCATATAAAAACAGATACACTCCTATTCTATGTGGCTAAAAAAGATATAGTTAAGCGCAAATTGTGACAGGGAAAAAATTATTTCAGGGCCTTTTTGGCAATATTTTACGGTTCCTAAAAATTAAACGTCTATGGACTCAGAAATTTTTTCATTTTTTTCATGTCTCATAGAACCGAGAAAACTGGCTTCTGCCTCCACTCAACAAATTGTATGTATTATTACAATGCTAAGCCCACTTAAAAAAATTTGAGGGGCAACTTAAATCGGGGCAACTTAGTCTTTCTGAAATTTAGAAACATCCCCTCTCCCTAATTTCCCTTAATATTCCATTACAAATAAAAAATTAAATTTTATAAATTATCTTATGTCTCATTTTTTTCTCCCTTCAATCAAAAAAAATTATAATTTTTTTTCAAAAAAATTATCTGGCCGTTCCATTACTGCTTTGTTGTTGTTGATGTTGCAATTCTCCATTTTGTTGTTGAGTATTTAAAGTATTTGTTGATGTAGTTCCTGTATTACCTCCATTATTTGATGATGATGTATTTTGTTGTTGAGTTAAAGTAGATGCTGTCTGGGCAGTTTTCTTACGTCGACAATAACGACGACTTTTTAGAAAGAAAAAAGATTATTTTTTATTTTTAAAGATCTAATTTCTCCTTTATTTGAAGCAAAAAAAATAAAGATATTTCCATGTTAAATAAAAATTTCTCTCAAAAAATTTTTTTGTTAATTTTTACCACACTAAAAATTCTTCATAATTTCCTAGACTTTTTGAGAAAATAAAAATAAAATAAACTTACTGCATTGGCCAATGAGTTTGTTGACATTCAACACTACAATAGGCTGTATTCCTAAATAAATATATTAATTTTAGGTTAAAAATCAAATAAAAAAAAATTTTTAGAACTCGAAAAAATATTTTTTAAAAAGAAAGAACGGTTGGACAATATTTTCGTGGCACTCAAAAACTTTAAGAACAATACATAAAAATTTAAAGTTTTTCCCCAAATATAGTTGAGAAAAATATTTTAGAGTTTTATTAAAAAACAAAAAATTTTTATACCAACAACAATGATATATAGCTTCTTGTTCACACTGCCAACACCATTGCTTTTTCTTAGCCATTTGTAATTCACGCCTATGCTTTTCATTTAAACGTTGAACTTCATCTTGCAAACGCCGTTGAAAAAGCTCTTCTTGCCTTGACCTAGAAAAATTATTTTAAAATTAAAAAAATTTTCTTAAACCTTTCAGCATCCATTTCATCACGATATTGAGCCATATATTCTGTCTGCTTTCTTTGCAAATCAGAAATATATTCTTGATGTAACTTTAAAAAATAAAAAGTTTAGAAGGAATTTAAAGGAAAAAGTTAGCACAAGTAAAGGTTAAGCCCTCAGAAGTCTGAGGAGCATTACTGGTAACTATTGCTAGAGGCATTTCACCCTCTTCAGCTGCTCTATGCAAACATGGCGAAATACTTGCTTTCTCCCCTTCTATAGATTCAAGTGTACCCTCCATAGTCCCCTGTGTCAATAAATGCTATGAATTTTATGTTCTCTGAATTTCATGTTCTACCTAATATAACGAAAAAAATTTTGAAGAGAATTAAATCTAGGCCCCTTAAAAAAAATACCCCAAAGATAAGTCCAATTTAATAATATCAATAAAAAACCTTTTCAGTCAATTCAACAAGAAGCTTCTCTCTATTTTGTTTATATTCCTTCAACCAAGTCTGTTGCAATTCAACAAGAATTTCACGCATTCTTTGTTCTGAGATCATTTGTTGTCCATCGATGACATAATTATCACTTAAAAATATAAAATTTTAAGTTTAAATTTTCGAGAATATCAATCAGCGTTGCCCGGTTCCCAAAGAGTCGTATGGTTACAACCCTAAAAGTTAAAATTTTCTACGATTACAATTTCTTGCTGGAACACAATTATGAAACCGGGACGATACAAGTTTCGCCAAAAGAAAATAGACCCAAACCCGCTTAAAGTCCATTAACCTTTCAAAAAATCAAAAATAAAAAAAAACCTATAAGTCGGATGCTCCACTTGAAGCGTCGGCGGCCTAGGCTCCCCAGTCGAAGTAGTAGCAGCACCAGGATTATTTCCTCCTCCCGAAATTCCAGCAACAATGCCATCTTCGGCAGAATTAACAGTCATCATCTGGTCTTGATCGTGATTGACATCTTGTTTAATTCCCTTCATTATCTTTTTAATATCTGACAGAATTAATAATCAAAAAAATATTAAAAATTTAAAAAATGAAGGCACAAAAAGCCATAAAATTAAATAATAAAAAAATTGTTTTTAAAAATTTTTTAATTTATTTTAGATTTGGACATAAGAAAAAAATAAATAATTAATTTTAGAGAAGAGTTGTACCATAAATTTTCCAAAAATAAATATAAGAAAATTAGGTACTAAACTCAAATAAATCGTTAGAAAAAATTAAAGAAATGTTAAAGAATTAAAATTAAGATTAAAAATTAATTTTAAGAGGCCTCAAAAATTAAAGGAGAAGACAATCACATTTGACGAGTGCTTTCTTCGATTCGTTCCATCTGATCGTAATCGTTAGCGTCGAGTGGTTGAATTACACGACCTTTTTTAAAAAAATTATTAAAATTAAAGATCTTCTAAAATTAATATAATTGAAGGTCACCAGGACAAAAAAATTTGCCAAAAATACTTCAGGAAAGTACTAATAAATCCTTAGGGAGAATAAAATACACAAGGAAAAATACTAAAAAAGGGAGAGCGCCCAAAAACAAATTCTACAATTCAATTAAAATTTAACATAAAAAATTCTTCACCAAAATGAGCCTGGAATTGATATACATAATTCATCGCAATATCAGAATCTGCCAAGTTAATAACTATTCCTGGCTTTCCAAAACGTCCAGTCCTTAAAAAAATTTTTTTTTAATTCCAAAACCATTCAAAAATTAATTTACCTTCCCATTCTATGCAAATAAGTATCAAAATCAGGCTGTGGCATTTCCTCATAAGTGACAGGAGGATCATAATTAATAACTAGAGAAACTTGTGGAATGTCCAAACCTTTAAAGAAAAAATTTAAAAAAATTTTTCTAACACTCAAAATAACCTCTCGCAGCAACATTCGTCGTAATCAAAATTTTTTGATCTCCCCTTTTAAATTTTTCAACAACTTTGGCTCTCTCATCCACACTTAATTCTCCATGTAAAAGGGCTACATCTCTTCCTTTTTCTTTAAAACGTTCAGCTAACCATATTGTTGAGGAACGAGTATAACAAAAAATAATACATGAAGAAATTGTCAATACCGAATAGAGTGAAAGAATCTGAAAAAATTAAGGGATTTTAATGGAATGAATTAAATATTAGTTTGAAATTAGCGAAAATAAAACAATAAAACTAGACACTAGGGAACCCGATTCCTGGAATCAAAAATTTATTTTTGTGTCGCCTATATCCCTGCCAAACACTATAGAAAATGAAACAAAACCTAGTTCATCCTAGAGACGTCCATGACCAAGAATTTTCCTAGATTCCAGACAAAACGTTTTGGACGTTTTTAATGTACTTTGGAAGTTGATGGAAACATTTTTACAACTTTCGTAAATACCATTTTTAATCTAGACCATTGCAAATGCTAAAACCCCCTCGGATTTGCAAAATTTCTAAGGCTAAATGATAGGGTAAATGAATAAAAAATATGAGTCTCCTAGGATTTTTGAAACAACGATTCCATGTACAAAACTATTCTTTTACTATACAGACTAATTTAAAAATCTAGACCACTCAAATGCCAAAACAAAAATAGTTTTTTTTTTAAAAAATAATAAGAAAAATTATTTTTTAAATACCTAAATACTTAACAAAAACTCTCAATCAGAAATAAGCTCTACCCAAAAAAATAGGAGGAAAAAGTAAAGTCAAAAATGTATAGAATAAACACAGCATACAAGCACTGTGGGTTTAGGAAAATCAATCGTAGTTTTCAACACAAAAACACCATACTGTGGGCTTTCTCTCTACTAAAAACTAAAGCTATATATACCAATTCCCCTCTTTCCCATGCTCATCACAATTTTTATTACTATATTGAAGGTTAGCACACTGTCGTTTTTCTTCCTCTCTATGTTCTCTTACCCTTATATTTTTAATGTGAATTTTGCCTTTCTACTATCTGTCCTTTAAAACAAAGCCTTCACAAAGAAAAATAATATTTTCGAAATTATTAATGAGTCGTTCTTTGTCTCATTTTAAAGTAGAAACAATTTTTGGTTAGGTTTTTACTCAGAAATTTGTCTGGAAAGTGTTTAATCTGCACGTTATAAATAGAGTTGGCGTTTTCGAGTCGAGCCGACGTTCGAGTCATTTTCCCCTCAAACCTAGTTATAAAATAATTTTTTGATACAAAAATATTTTCAAAAAAATCATTAAAATACCGCTTGATATTTATCTTCACGATCTTTGCTACGCACATAATATTGCCGGATATAGGGTAGACTTTGATCTTGACGTCGAATACTTAAAGAAATATTTGGTTATAAAATTAATTTTTAAATTTTTTATAAAAAATGATTTTCAAAATAGTTGAACAGAGAAAAGCCTCTAATATAAAAAAAATTTTCCGTCAAATCAATTCATTTTTCAACGTGTTACCGACTTGATATTAACCTATTTTTCGGCTTTACTGATAAATTGATTCTTAGTTAAAACATTATTAAATTATACATAATAAAAATCCTCACGTAATTATAATAGGATCAGCAATCAATTTTCCAGCAAATTGAAAAACAGAGTCAGAAAAAGTAGCGCTAAACAGCATACATTGACAATTTGGGTTGGCTGCTATTATATTACTTTAAAAAATTTTTTTTCTTAAATTTTCTTTAAAAATTAAATCACAAACTTGTGTATAAGTATACTTTTATCTTGATATCCTTGTTGACTTATCATTACATCAGCCTCGTCTAAAGCAAAGGCAATAATACGAGATGTGTCGATGTAATTCTTAAAATTAAAAAAATCTTTTTCAGTTTTAGTTGTTTAATAAAAAATATAAAAAAATACCCGTAATATCCAGTCAAGCATTTTACCCGGAGTTCCAATAATTAATTGTTCGGTGAATTTAGTAGCATTATTTTGAACTTAAATATTTAATAAAAATTAAAATTTAATTTTAAAAAGGGCCCGAAACAGAGGTAGAAAAAGAAAATCGTAACAGGCAAACGTAATTTGGAGGCGAAGATTGTGACCCCTTTAATTATTGTCTCAAAATTTAATTGTTTTGTTGCTAAATAACCTACTAAAATCCTATTTTCATAAAAGTCCACTCTATAAGACCCACCTCAAAAACAAACGCCCAGAGTCTTTATCAGGTCATTCACTATAAAAATTCCAACATATCAGGCCATTCAATATTATAAAAATCCCAACAAAAAAAAAGAAACCTGATTCTCCCTTAACAGCAAAACGTATCTGCACATCAGGCAAATAGGCAGCCATCTGTTTTGCTACATCTCCAATTTGTTGAGCTAATTCAAATGTTGGTGCAACAACAATACATTGAGGTTCTTTTTGGGAAGGATTAAGTCTTTGTAGCATTGCAAGAAGAAATGTGGCTGTTTTGCCTGTCCCGCTTTGAGATTGGGCAATAATATCTTGAGGACTAAAAATTATAAATGAATGGGTAAAAAGTACAAAAATATTTATTTCAAGGGAGAAACATCAACTTTGTATATAGGGCCAAGTCCTTTGGCCCCCGTATTACCCTTCTTTATTCGGGAGGGGAAGGGAAAAAGATACTAATAATTTAAAAAATCTGAAAAATCCACTTTCCCGCCCCCAAAAATAATTTTATAATTAAAAATTGATTTACGGATCGCTTAGAAGAACAGGCAAAGCTGCTTCCTGTATTTTCGAAGGTTGCTGAAATCCCATCATACGCAAAGCTCGAATCAATTCAGGTTTTCTAAAAATAAAAATATATAAAAAAACTAAAATAAAAAGCAAACAATGCCAAATCCTCAAATGAATGAACAGAATAAAGAGGCGATGTTGGATCACTTTGTAGTTTAGAAACTTCAGGCACTCCCTCGTTGAGTTGGTTAAGTTTATCATTGAGCACTTTGTTTAAGAAAGAAACTTCTGCCTGTGGAATAGCTGAAAAATTTCAGTTAGTTTAAACAATAGTAAATTAGCAGTCAAAATATTGGGACCCGTTCAGGGCATTTTTTTATTAAATTCTAAGCGGGAAGAAATGATAGGACCCAAAAAACTTCAGTACTAAATGCCATTTCTTAATGAAAACAATCGCAAAAAAACGTTTAAAATTTAAATGAATAAAAAAACCTTTCTCATCTGCTGATCCAAAATAATGCGATGGTCCGGCGCTTATTGGCTGAATTCCAAACGAATTCTGCATCGCCATACAAATGGCAAATAACCACTCTAAACCTTAATAATTCCTTTAAGCCTAAAAAAATTAAAACAAAATTTATCTACTTTTAAATCAAATTTTAAAAAAATTAAAGCAGTTTTTGATAAAATGCGTAATAAAAAAATAAACAAAAATTTCATTATAATTTATTTTATTCATCATCCAAAATTTTAATTTCTATTTGTAAAAATTCGAATAATTCCACCGTGTCCACAAACTTGGAAAGCCTGAAAAATGAAAATTAAATAATTCAAGAAAAATTTTTTAATAATTCATATCATAAGGACAAAAATTTAAAGGATAATTTTCAGTGGAATTAAGAGAAAAGGAATTGCTTGACTCACATTAGAAAATTTTTTCAATAGTTAAAAATTTGGAAATTTTAAAAATCCACCTTCAATACTCTTTGACAATTGAATAAATTAAGGATTAATTTAGGGATATGAAAATTCATAAAAAAATATAAACTCGTCTTTCCAATTTAAAAATTAATTAAAAAATTATTTTTTAACAAAGGAAATTGTAGAAAAATTAAAAACAATCTAAAATTATTTCAAAAAAAGAACCTGGGCATGCCAAGCAAGCAAAGAACTACAAGTTTGTCCATCCGGTTGTTGCTCCATCCCTTTGTAAATATATTTCATCAATAAATCAACTTCATCAATTGTCAAGGCTTTTACTGTGGATTCCATTTCGACGCTTTTGAAGCTTGTTAGAACTCGTGTAGCTAATTGAACAACTTTGTCTCGTAATACCTAAAAGGGAATTTAAATAAAAATCAGTATTGGGCAATTTAAGGGAAAGAAAACTACAAAATAACCAAAGATCTATCAAAGATTTCAAATAAACCTGATTTTTAATTTGTGAAGGATTAAAAGATAGCACAATCTTTAAGGCATCCAAATTTCTATTGGATTGTAGCAACTGTCGGATTTGTGCCTCATCTGGCCCCAAAATATTAGCACCAGCTTCACCATCCAGTTTAAGGCCAGTTACGCCCTGCTCGTCTTCAAATTTTTCCAAATCGAAAGCATCAACGTCGAGTTTGCGATAAGCTGTGTCAGACAACACATTTTTAGTCATTATTAACTAAAAGAAAAAACGTGAAAAAAAACAAAAGCACTTCAGCAGGAATGAAAAAAAGTTGTTGCGTTTATCACCTTTGATGTTTCGTAATTTGATATTTTAAAATAAAATTTAAATAAAATGTCGTTTTGTCAAATTAGTCAAAATGCAAGACTACCAAAATGCCTAAATACCAAATGACCAGTCAATGGAGAACCTAAAAATTTCTTGTCTTCCTAAAAGCAAAAAAAGAAAAATCAGAATTTTTTTTGGAAAAATGGTCTATGATTTTTTTATCAATTTGGTAGTTAAAAGTTATTTTTTTGTGCAGTCATTTTTTCAGATGGACCACGCCAAAAAATGTTCTTCGCCTTTTCCATTGATTTATGCTTCTTCCTTTTCTTTTCTTTTACCCTAACATCCGTTGAAACCACATGGCGTAACGTGCAAAATATTCTCAACAAAGTAGTCGCTTAAAGAAAAGAATAAAAAGTAGCTAGTTTTTTCCTTCAGCAATAAAATTGCTTGCCAATCGAAGTGAAGTTACTTGACGTTTATTGTTTGAAAGCTTCCTAGAGTGACTTTAAATCCTTTTAAAAAAAGTTAATTTACTCTGACGAATTTTTAAAATTGTTTTTCTTTAGAAACAAAAATGGATCGTCTCAGTTGGTACCAGAGTGGAGAAGCCATGGAAGAAATTCTTTGTCAAGCCGGGTCTGTTGGAATTTATGATGGGGATGTTAAACAGGTGCCTTTTTAGGGATTATTTTGATAATTTATTTTCTAAATTTTTAGTCGTCGTTCGAGCAGGGGACTGTTTCACTGACCTATCAACGTGTAATCTGGGCTGATTCAAATGACCCCGATTGTCGTTTAATGCTCCACCATTCACTTGTTCAAAGGATAGAAAAGCAACACAAATCAATGTTTGGAAGGGGGGCTAAAATTGTCGTTTCTGTCCGTCCTGTGCCGACTGACCATCCACAAGGGCCAATTTCGGCGAGGAATACGAATTCGTTGCGATTTATTTTTCGAAATGGAGGAGAGGAGGATGTGAGTTTTTTTAATTTTTATTGTTCTAATGGTTTTTAATCATTTGATCGGGCCCCCCTATTTAAATTCTTAAAGTTTTAAAATTCGGGGATTTTTGGCATTATGTAAAAATTGATTTTTCTAATTGGAATTTGAGTGATCGACCTTTGATCGGTAATATCTGATTCACGGGATCCCGTAACGGGATTTTTTTCAAAAGTCGAGGGGAACAAATCCCGCGGGATTATTCCCGTAACTCCCGGTAATCCCGTTTGTCGCTTAAAACCCGAGATCCCGGGACGGCATCTTGTACGGGATCCCATCACGTGCCGACCTCTAGTGATCATATCCTCGTAGACTTTCTTTGTTATTAAATTAGCTTCTTCAATTTAAAGTTCTTTAAACGTTACACGGATGCTCTGGGCAAACAAATGTGGCAACGTGCTTCATCTAGTTCCAGTTCAGCCAGTTCACTGCGCACAAGCGGCACTCAACACCTCAGTGTTTCCTCCTCGGGAACTACCCATTCAAATTTAATAACCTCTCACCAAGCAAATACTATGGGCATTCGAAATGTGGGCATTTTGGGGATCGAAAAACGATTGGCAGAACAACACCAAAGAACGCATGAGCATATTAGTGAGGTATTTTTAATTTTAAAAAATAAATTGGGACTGTAAGTTATTGAAATTTGGGTTTGGGTTAGCTCCTAGTCTTTTTTCGATTTTTTTTGTTTTTTTTGAAAGTGGATTGGCATTTCTGAATTTTGGATGGTTATTTTGACAAATATTGAGAGACTAATAAAAAAATTATTTTTCCTTGTCCCTCACAAGGAAACATCTGATAAATTGGCAATTTTTTGGTACCAATCGAGAAGACCACTGACTTTCTATTGAGTTATGCTACGGGTTTTTCTGCAAAATGACTTTCGATTGGTACCAAAAAATTACCAAATTTTTGTACACAGTATCGGATGTTTCCTTGTCAGATCAATGGAGAGCCGTCTAAATGGGTTCTATGTTTTTTGTTTGATTGTCGGAATTTTTCTGATTTTTTCACCAAAAATTTCAATTTTCTTTCCCATTTCAATTTTTTCTTATAAATTTCCAAAATAAATTTTTCAAATATTAAAGGCTTTCGAAGACATGAGTAAACTTATGGATCAAGCTAGGGAGATGGTCAATCTTTCTCGTAATATTGCTGAACGTATAAGGCAGAAAAAGGGAGAAATTACAGATGACGAGGTTTTTTTCAGTAAATATTTTTAAAAATTATTTTTTAGACTGTCCGCCTTAAAAGTTATTTGCTTTCCCTCGGTGTTGCTGATCCTGTTACAAAATCAGTTTTTGGTGCTGGGGCGGTTTTCTTTGAAAGGCTGGCACAAGAATTGACAAATGTTTTGTATGAACCTTTACAAGGTTTTTTAAATTTTTTTAGAATTTTTGAAAGAATTTTTTTAAAGAATGTGGAGGTACAATGACTTTGGCAGATGCTTATTGCCGTTGGAATAGAGCAAGAGGATTGGAACTTGTCTCACCTGAAGATTTATTGAATGCTTGCAATAAATTGGAAAAGATTAATTCTCCTATATGGTATTTTCTTTTTTTGTAAATCCCCTAAAAATGGAGGGGGGGGGGGAATGTTACGGGATTAAAAGTCATGTTGTAAATTGTCCAACCCCTAGATTTTTCATGAACCCCAAGTCTTAGATTCACGTCTGCTAACAATAAGTTTCAATAAATCAGACTCACTGATTAGATTCTGGACTTTCTAAAATATCGATCTCTTTAAAAAGTTTTTCGGAAACTCAACTGATAGAAAAAGTCAAAAAAAAATCGTTGCAAATTTAACAATGGCCACTTTCCTTTCTTTCACTTTTTCTCAAAATTAAAAAAATTTTTAGTCTTTATACATTTGATAATGGAGTTCAAGTACTTCAATTATGTTCATTAAATATGGAGAAAATGGCTGATGAAATTTTAGAAATGGTTAATGCAATGACGGATAATGGAAATTCCCCCAATGGATTTAGTGCAGCCCAGTTGGCTAAACATTCTGGAATTTCACTTATTTTGGCAGCAGAAAGGTTTTTATTTTACATTTTCGATTAAATTGTGATTAGATTTTGATTTTACAAATTTCAAGCCTTCCTTGAAAAAATAGTTTGTTCTCAATTTCGGTAAAAGACTGAACAAAAAGGGAAATAATACCACAAATTTCGGTAATTCTTCGGTTCGTATTCCCCCTCCTTTTTTTCTGACCATTTTTCCATTTCTCCTTCCCTTTCTCCCTTATTTTTCATGAGGCAAGTATAATACTATCAAAAAGGATTGAGAAAGTTCTTGAAAAATTTAATCATTCAATAACCAATATGGAGCACTTAAAAAATTTTAACATGATTAATTTGTGTGCTGTGATTAAGCTACAACGATTTCGATGCTTGGCTCGAAAAGCTTGGCTTCTTCATGGTAAAAAATGCAGGTAACAATACCAACATATATTTACGTACCCAAATATTTTCTTGAATTTATGTGGCGAAAACGATCTGGTGGTATTTCTCAAGTTTTTTTTATAATTTTTGGGATCATGTTTCTCTTTTTTATCCTTTGAAAAAAAAATATTTCTCATAAATCCTTTTTGTTATTTGCCTCATGAAAAATAAGGGAGAAAGGGAAGGAAAAATGAAAAAATGGCCAGAAAAAGGGAGGGGGAATACGAACCGAAGAATTACCCAAATTTCTTTTTATATCAAAATTTTTTGTTATAAATGTTTTTATATTGGTGCAGCTATTCCTAGGGAATCCAAAGGTGGAACACGTTGGAGAAAAAAATTTAAAAGGGAGAGATTTTAAGAGGGAAGGGATTTTAACCAAATTTGAAAAGGGAGGAACACTACTTCGTCTAATTTAAATTTCAAATTTTTTATAGGTTACGCATGGCAGAAGACCAAGGCAAATTATGTAGAGATGACACAATCCAAGGATTATTCTTTTACCCAAATAATTTTAATTTGTTAGAAAGTGAAGAAAAAGAAGAAATTGATAAATTAGAGTTTAGTAAAGGTATTGATAATTAATTTAAATTTTTGTTTCAAAGGTTTTTGTTTAATTTTTGATTTATTTTTGTATAAGTGACAAAACGATTTTTATTAGATTTGTTCTTTTTTATTTTGACCAAGTATTAAAATATAGTACCCGTATCATAGGCTTTAGAATTTATTGCTAAAAAGTATATTCTTTAAGTGGGATATCTTTTGGAGTAGTGGGTAAAAGCCTAAAATCTTGTTAGATTACCCAAAGCTTAAAGGTTGTTCGAAACCCATCAGTGTCAATCTTTTTATTTTACACTCTAGAATTGAAAAACTTGTAAATACATACTAGACGACCACACATTTTTTAAATTTTTTTTTATTTATTCAAATATTTAAAAATTAACCATTAACAGCAAGTCTTTCATTTATTCTTTCCCTCTCTTTAATTTTTTTCAATTCTTCTTCGACTTGTTTACTCAATTCCTCATATCTCGGAGCATATTCTCTTAAAATAACAATCTTTCCATCCTCAATTTCCATTTTCATTTCTTCCAAAGGATCATAAATTTTATAAACAGTTGCCATTCCAACAACTGCACCAACACAACAAACACCCAATTTGCGTATATAATTCCAAGTTGCAGCAGAAGGCATAAATAAAATTGAAAAATATAAAAAATAAATTAAATCCTTAAATTAACAAAATAAATGTTGAAAAATAAACGGAAAAATAATTTTTCTGTTCGTTTTGGACGTTATGTCTTTATTTGTGGGTGTTGGCATTTTGTCAGTTGGTGTTTTAACAAAATTTGGGATTTTGTTTTATTATTCTAGATATTATGTCAAAATGGTAACTTTTGGAGAATAATTCATAATATCTATTTTTAATTATTTTTCATCATTTTTCTTGTTTTTGATTTTATTTTTATGTAATTTTTATTGCTTACAATTTTCAGAGTTTTAGACATTCACGATAAAATATTTAAATAATGGCGAGACGTTATGATACGCGTACAACTATATTTTCTCCAGAAGGTCGACTTTATCAAGTTGAATATGCGTTGGAAGCTATTTCTCAAGCTGGGACTTGTTTAGGAATGCGAACAAATGAAGGCATTTTTCTGGTAGCTGAGAAACGGGTTACAGATAAACTGCTTGATTCTAATGTTTGTTTAATTCTTATTAGATAATTTCTTTAAGATAGTTCCTCAAAATTGCTAGAAATGCAGAGACAATGAAGTGTTCTAGGCCCAGGCATTTTTATCTTCCCTTCTCAATTTCAGGCCAATCCAAAATTAGTTCTGGTTCACACTTTAAAATTTGACGACCGAAAATTACCCTGACCTCCTTTCTCATTTATAACTGAATCAAACATACATTTTCAATAACAATTCATTTTTAATTCACTTTTCCAGGTTATGCGCGAAAAAATTTTCAAAATTTCTCAAAATGTTATATGCGCCGTCGCTGGAATTACAGCCGATGCTAATGTTTTAGTGAGCAAATTACGTGCTATGGCAGCTGGTTTCCGCAGTAGCTATGAGGATGATATTCCAATTGAACAGCTTGTCTCACTTTTGGCTGATTTCAAACAAAGATATACGCAAGTTGGAGGTTTGGTTTTAAAATTTATGATAGGAACCCCTTACTTTTTTCGACCCGAATCCGAAATTTATGACAGGCTATTTTCCCTTAAATCAAATTAAAACGGTGTTCATTCACCTCTCTTGATCAGTTTTTGGCTTCTCCCCCTTCCGCTATACGGACCAGGGATGTCACTGGTTACCCGAACCCCTTACTTTTTTTTCGACCCGAATCCGATTCGAAGAAAAATTTTGAGACTCGACCCGACTTTCTCAATCCGTGACGTACCTGGTACTGATCCCTCCCCTTTTTGGTAGTCTTTTGATTAATTTTCATTTAAATTTTAGGAAAGCGCCCTTACGGTGTTTCTCTTCTCTATGCTGGTTGGGATCTTCATCACGGCTTTCAACTTTATCAATCCGATCCAAGCGGCAACTACACGGGATGGTTCGCTACTTGTGTAGGCAAAAATCAACAAACGGCAGTTTCTCACTTTAAACAGGAGAGCAAAGACAGTGTGGAGAATATGACTCTTGAGGATGCTAAAAAGCTTGTTATGAAGGTTATTTTTGAGAATTTTTTGTTTTGGTGTTTAAGTAAAAATTTTGGAGATTCTTGCTCGCAAAAATTTTTTTGTCCGCAAGTGTTGTCCGCAAAAAATTTTTTGTTCGAAAATATTTTAAACTACTCGAAAATTATTTTCTTTTTTGTAGGTTCTTTTCAAAACTCTGGATAGAAAGCCAACAACAGAACGACTGGAAGTTGCTGAATTGAAAATGGTTGAGGGCAAATTGGTTATGCGTTTTGTTCCAGATGATGAAGTAAAGGAACTTATTGTTGAAGCTGAAGAAGCGTGCAAAGCTGCTGCTTCGACGGATTGAAAATTTTTTGACATATTTGTTGGTTAAATTAATGTAAGGAAAATGGGAATAATGATAAAATATTTAATTTGTAAAATGTTTCTTTAAAAAGTTACTTTCAGGAATTTTTCCAAAACAAACTTTCGGGAATTTTTCCTTTTTTCCATTCTTTTAAAATTCTTTTTGAAAATTTTGTAAACTTCCAAAAATATCAACAACTACCAGAATTAGGTGTAGATAAAAATGCCCCAAACAGTATTCTGGCAAAATTAATTATTATGTAATTGAATAAGAGAGAGAGTCGATGTCCTTTGTAGCAAAATAAGTGATAATTAATTAAATAGGAACAATAAGAGAGGGAAAAAAATTTAACCAATAACCAAAAAAATGAGCAAATTAATCCAAAAAATAATCATTTAATATAGGTAGGTATGTATAAAGAAATAAGGCCCCAAATAATAATTGTTTATTTTAAATCAGTCATATCCTTTCTTTTGTAGTACAAAATATATGCCGCGTTAGTCTAAAATGTGACTTTTTAAAAATCCAAATTTAACTTTAATATATACCTTAATATCACTCGAATTTAAATTTGTAACAATCTTATCGTTACACCACAGCCATTCTTTTGTTTCCTTGTTTTTAATTTTCGCGGTAAAATGTTCTACCGGAATTGTATAGTGTTCCTGAAGTTATTTAAAATGTTTTGTACCTATTTATGGTAAACTTAGGTTTAGGATTCCCTTTTTATAATTTTTTGTAAATTTTCTCCTTTATTTTCTGCTTTTACTCAATTATCAATCAAAAAATGATACCAAAAATTAAAAACACTCCCAACGTTGGCATAGGTATAATCTGAAGCTGATAACTCATGACTATTAGGCAAATGAAAGGAAATTAGGGGAGGAGGAATGACTGACAATTATGTATTTCCTAAGAATGGGGGAGAAACCTAACAAAAAATAATAAAAAATGGGTTTTAATTACCATTATTGCATATAGAGAGTAAATCAAATTTGATTTATCTAATTCGTTATCCGATGAATTGGGGTGAAGATAATTGGTCATGTCCAATTCCTCTAATGGAAATTCAATAAAACGATTGTTCTTTTTACCGTCACTATTTAATTTATTTGAAATATTTTTAAAAATTATAACTAAAAATTACAAAAATCTCCCCAAATGAATGACCAAAATTTGAGGTAACTTCCAAATATAGAATGTAACTGGAATTTCTCGATTTGGACAACGAGGGCACATTTCATTGCTGGTCTGGAATTAATAATTTCTTTTAAATTATTAAATTTCTATTATATTCACATAATTCTGAAAATGTCTTGTCAAACAGCTCTGGAGATCTGTGTTTGACTCATCCCAAGTAATGTCCATATCAATACTTAACTGTACAAAGATATTATAAATAGGGTTTTTTTATTTAGATAACCTTCTCCTGGAATGTAATTTTAGTTGCTGTACAAGAACACGAGAAAATCCGGATTTGTACATTTCGAAAGATATTGTATATGCATGAGGAAATATTTGAGCGAATTTTAGTTTCATAATCATTAAAAATCTTTCCAATATCATTATCATATATCAAGTAAATATTATCCCGATGTTCTACAAAACCAGCTGGATAACTCACCTAAATTAAATATATTTTTATATAAAAGGTATTCTGCCGACTTAAAAATTCAATTCCCTATCTAGGTAATTTCCGATTTTCGGCAATTTTATTAGTTATTGGCGAAAATTATATGTTAAAGGCTATAATATCTCATATTCCATGATTAAATCAAGTACAGGCAAGGAAAGCAAGTACAGTCTATAGAGGGAATTTATGTGGAGATGAAAAAATTATAGCATAAACCAAAAATTTACACGAAAATTTCCGAATTTTTGCCTCCCTGTAGCCAAAATTCTCTTTTTTCACCTAATTCCTTTTTAGAAATAATGGTACTCACTTCATTAACATCATCAGAAAGCTGGCTTAACAACAATTCTTGGAATTTAAATGCCGATTCTGGCAATTGCCCATTGTATTTTTCCCCAAGCAGCTGAGCTATAGTATTCTGAAATACATAATACAAAAATTTTATAACCAAATTTATCGTGTTCATACACTACTAATAATGGGGGAGACAAAATTTGGTATTGTTCAAGTGGTTCAGTTGCAATTTTTAAATTTCAGTCAGAATTTATTTAAAAATTTTAATAATTTTGTGAAAAATCTTTTTTTAGATTTATTTTCTACTTTCGTTTAATATAAATACACACCAGATAAAAATAAAACCGAAACAGTGAGAGTACCATTGAAACAGCTTAAATTAACACGTTAAGCTTGGTATGGTCCAAGTAGGCGCAAAATCATAATTTGCTTCAAGATTTCCAAATTTTTCAAAATTTAGTATTAAACGATCCCTCTCATCGAGCTAAACAGATTGGTACCAAAATTTTAAGGTCCATAGATTTTCAAGCTATGTAGTTATGGCTTTGGGCCTACATGGCCGCCCGCCTACTTGGACGTGTCCCGTTAAGCTGATGTGTGGCGGACGATTAATTTTGAATTTGCAATAAACGATTTAGTACAGTTATTAAAGAAATTGACTCAAAAAGTATTCCTTTTAGGGAAAAATTATACCATAATCTCCACAGTGGTGATTTGACTATAAGTGCCAGACCAATAGCAATTGCTGATTGCGCATAACCATGCTGTTAAGCATCCTTTGGTGTTTTTTGCTTCCTTATTTATTTTAGATTTTATTCCTCCACCACTATAAAGTTCAATAAATTTTGTTGTGTGCATTAAGCATTGTAAAACGGAGTTGCAAAAGCAGCTGTTCCCGATATTTTCAAAGCCAACCTTCCATTTTGTCTGGAATTTGATAAAAAATTACAGTTAAAAATTACAGTCCGAACATGGGACCGGACCCACTTATGGCCTCGCTTATGGCCTTGAGGGGCTGTAATTTTTTAAGTCTTGTGCCATTTCAGGCGAATCTTATTCCATTCAAGGTTGTACCTTTTTTCTAACTTGATGGATCAAGTCAGATCTCTTAAGAATTTACAACAAAATATGTGTTGGAATTTTTCAAATTTATAGTGATCTAAATTCTAAGAATATCAAATACCTCTTATCGTTAAATTTCGAACAATATAAAATCTACTAAATCAACCCCTTTATTTTCTAGCCAATATACACCCAACGAGTGTTTAAGAATTAATCATATCCTACTTTAAAAATTTATATATTACCATGTCTATTCCACACATGCCATATTTAGCTATATCCTCAACAATGTTTTTGTAAATATCTTCATAATTTACATATTTGTCCTTATTTGAAGTCGACATTGGAGTTGAAAATATAGATAGATATTTAATAAATTAGCTAAGATTTGATTAAATAGAGGTATCCTATAATTAAATTGTGATGTTAAATGTTTAATTGTTAAAATTGTTGTGGCAACATTTACTGACATGATAAAGGTTTTTATTTTAGCCGGATTTGAGATTTTATACGGTTCTGGAATCTTCCCATTTTAGGAGGACTTTTGACTCCTAACTACACTGAAATTCAAAAAAATTTCGCCTGCAGCGCTGAAAAGGGATGCATTCTTTATTGGCCTTTCAAAAATCGGAGCCGGAAGGACGATTGAGTCCCTCTTGTATTTAAAACCGGACCGGATTTATCCGGAAAAATCTGGCCGATCTGGTCCGGCTCTAATTGCAAATCAGGAATCCGGGTCCGGAAAAATAGATTTTACCGGTCACTAATTAAAATATTAAACTTGAATATTTTTTAATTTTAGAAAGTTTAAGTTTTTTGAGTATTAATTAGTAGTAGGCTTGAAAAGTAAGTTTGGACGTTCTTCAAGTTTGAACTTTAAAGGTATTAAACTTAAATTATATTAAACTTGTAATTATTTAATTTTCAATATAAGAAGATGAATTTCTTAATTATTTTTCGCTTACTTTTCAAAAGTACGGACACCTGTAAATGCTTCTGTCCATTTACATTTGTTTATAATTTTAGTGGTATAAAATTCCAAAACTTGGATCATCACAAAGCATTCTAAGAAAAAAAGTTGCTTAAATTATTAAAGATGTTTGCCTTTTCGAACTAAAAATTTCTTAGTTTTATATTTTATGGCCATGTATTTTAATTGTTCACTGTTAAATAAAACTTTCGTGTTTAAACTTGAATTGAAATTAAGCTTTTCAATTATGTTTTTCATGTTTAAATCATAACTTTCCAAATACGAAACCAAAAATTCTGAAATTTTATGAGAACCTAGTTACAATATTGAGGATATTTGAGCAAATTTTTATAATTCTAGGCTCTCTTTTGGCTATTTTATGAGCGATTAATGTCCAGCACCTGAGCACACGCTTCATAAAAATTAGCAAGTAAATCAACAGCCCCAGCTTTTAAATAAAATGCTTCAATTTGTCTCATTAATTGGGCATTCTCTTTCCAATTTAAATTTTGTAAATAATTTCCAGCCATTCGGTATTATCAGACTAAAATTTTAGGGTTTTAATTAAGTTAAATATACAATTTAATTGAAATTATAAACGATTATACTCGGATCTCGATTTAAGGTACATCTGTAATTGAATACCGTATATTCTTGAATAACCACACTGGGTAATTATTTTTTGACCTAACGCTGAATGAAGTAATTAATATAAGGGGGTTTATTATTTTAGGGAGGACAACTATAATACACGAAGTTTTAATCTTAAAAATTAAATATTATTTAATTATACAAGAATAATTTTTAATTCTTTAATTGAAAAAAATTTATACGTAAAAAATTTAAGAATCCAAAAAAATTTACTTCTAATTTATTCCCAGCCTGAGTAAATTTTTTTGCTCCAGTGATAATTACTTATACTTTGTGTAAGCAACACTTTGCTATTTGCTCTAGAAGGGTTGACCTTTATTTAGATGAGAAACTTTCTGTAAAATTTTTCAGAAATTAATTAGGTATCTCTAAAACATTTACTACCCAAATTGTTCGGTGTAAGTTAATTATCAAATTCCTCAGTAATAATTATATTATTAAACCACATTACATATACTGTAAAAATAATTTTCATTAAAATTTTTGAGAAATTTCCCAAGGTCCGTTTAGCAAAAACCAAAAGCTGAACAGCAGTTCGGTCTTGTTGATTAGACGAGAAAAACTGGGCTGCTCTTGTTAACACTGATTGATCCGATTTTTTATTTAATTCTTGTGCAATAAGGTCTAATGAGCCAAATTGACCGGTCTATGGAAATTTCTATTTCCAATTTTTATCAATTAAAAATAATTACTTGCAGTCATAATCCAATGCACTCCCCACCATTCCAGCCTATAAAAATAAAAATTTTTAGTTAATATTGTTAACAATTTTAATATATCTGATTATGTTAGCGGTGTACACCCAGATCTACAGGTCTATCGAAGGGCTTAATTAATCAGTTCTCTCACTTTATGATAAAGCATAACAGTCTTATCAGCATGCCCATTTAAATTTTTATAATATTCAGCTGCTTCAGCCAATTCAGAACCCCCAGCCATTAAAGCTAAATTAGCTATTTTGTCCACCATTCCATTTTCTTTTGCTAAACGAATAGCACTTGAAAATGCCCCTGCTTGTGTAAAAAATTGAACAGCTTTGGCAGACTCGGATTGAGTTTCGAATTGCATTGCTAAATGGAATGCTGCTGCTCTATCACCTAACGAAAAGGAAAAATAGGTTTTATAAATTTTACGGACATCATTATAAAGATTCATCCTTGGAACTGAAAATTTTATCATACAATGAGATGTGTCTTAAATTATCGCTTAGACTGCTCCTTCTACCTAGTACCTAGGAGTATCTAGATTGGGATTATTCAATATTCAATAGCAAAATTTCTTTTCCAAACTCACTTCCACAAACTGTCCATTATGACAAAGAATGCGAACAACAGAAAGAAAATCTTTCGCATTTTGATAAAAGCTTTTTGCTGTTTCCATATCTCCAGTACTTTCTACAAATTGTGCCCACCATTTATATAATTCTGGTTCCGCCTTCTTTTTAGTATAAAATTCTAAAACTTTTGGCTCATCACAGAGCATTCTAGGAACATCAGAATAATGGGTGTTTGCTTTTTCGTAACTGAAATTTTTTAGTTTTATCTTTTTTTTTGGTCTTTTATTTTAGATCAATCACCATTATTAAACTAAAAATTTCAAGTTTAAACTTTAATCGAATAGGTTTTCCAAGTTTGAACTTTAATATCTAGTAAACTTAAATGTTAATGTCGAACTTATTTTTAAGTTTAGACTTGAATATTTATTAAACTTGAATTCTCTTACTTTTCAATAGCCTTTTCGAAAGCACCAACATATCTAAATGTTTAGTATAATTGTAATGAATAGAGCCCGGATTTTTAGGCAAATGCCTGTTTTTTTCCTAGATAGGCCTGATGCTGAAACGTTCAAATCCGGTGTTATTTTACTGATAACTTCTTTCTAACTAATTTTATCATTGCCTAAAATTGCCTATTTTAACTTTTTTTGGCAAAATGCCCTATTTTGCCTTTTTTCAGCCTATTCTGCCTATTTTTACTAAAATTTGCGAATTTTTGGGCATTTTTTGAGAAAATTGTTGTATAAAAAATTTTTTTCTGGTAAAATATAAAATTTTTCCAAAAAATTTTTTTGTCAAAAAGGTTTTGTCAAAAAAATTTTTCGGGAAAAATTTTTTTGAGAAATTTATCAAATTATTTTTGGAAACAAAATAATTATTATAAATTAATTTATATATAATTCTGATCGTCAAAATTAATTTATTTAACAGTTTTTTGCTTATTTTTATAAAATTTATTCAATTAAAATCAGAAAATCTCGAAAAAAACCTGCCTATTTTGCATTTTTTTTCAGATTTTAGTGCCTATTTTGGCAGTTTTTTAGTGCCTATATAGGCGCCTATTTTTAACTTTATCGTGCCTAAAAATCCGGGCTCTAGTAATGAATTTACGTAAATACTCAACTTCACTCTCCTTATGTTATACAATCAGTCAATAAAAGATTAAACTTTTATTCAAACCGTTCACATTGATAAAAAAGAAAGACATGATGCTTGAAATTAAAAATAATGAAGCCATACATAAAATCTTTAATTTTTAATATAGATGGGAATATTTTAGATTTTTTATATGCTTCATTTTATAAAAATGCGACAATTTTCTTCTCAGTTCTTATATTTTTATACGTCAAATTCTGCGATTTAAATACTTTGGAAGTAAAAAGGAGGGGCATATGAACTACAATTTTTCCATTAATGTTCTTCTACTACAGGAAATGCTTCAGTCCATTTACCTTGTACTTGGTAAACTTGATTAACTAGGTCAAAAAGATTTACTGTTTGAAATAGACGGACAGCATTATCTAGGTCAAAACTCTTTTTGCCGAATTTCGCGTGCTTTAAACTTGTATTGAATATATCATTAATATTTATTAAACTATATTATGTTCGAACTAGTTTTAAAGTTTAAACTTGCATATATAATACTTAATTATATTAAACCAAATTAAAATAATTTTTTAAATTTTGTTTTTATGGCCATTTAATTCCATACTTCCGACGAACAGCTCTATGTCTAGACTCCGCCATTTTATGCTGTTACTATTTTTCGAACTTCTTGATGAGTTGTGTCATTTCGAGTTATTAGAGTGCGAAAAGTTAATGCTTTGGCTCCCCTTTTTTCCTCTTTATTTTTCTGCCTTATTTTTACTGACTAGGGAACATCGTTTATTGTCAGTGCGAATTTGATAATTTTTTATACCATTCGATGGAGGACCCTCGACTTCCGAATCTGAAGTGATCCGTTTTTTTTGCAAAATGACTTATGGCCGAGTGTCGTTTAATCGCATTTTGTCACACAAATTATATTGAAATTTTCAGTTTCTCTATTATTAGTTGTCGAGAATGAAAATGATTTTTATTCAAACCTTTTAACAAAGATTTCCTAAAATGTGCTAATTATTATTTAAATTTAATAATTAAATCCAGATTTAACTTGTGTACATTGAAAAAGTATATTATAGCAAGATGGATATAGCACTTTCTCCAAGTGCCTAAAAATAAAAAAATCACAAATGAGGGGAGTACCTAAGGGACTGTATAACAATATAGAATGCATAATATTATAACTATTATATTAACTATTCAACACGAACTTCCTCCGCTTATTGTGTTGTTATTAGAGACCGGCGCAGGACGGGATCCCGACGGGATTTTTTGATTTTCGGGATCCGGGATTTTTTCGGGATTTATCCCTCGGGATTCCGTCCCGGCATCGGTCAGGAAAAAAATCCCGACTCGGGATCCCGGACATTTTTTATAATTTTTGGGATTTCTAATTTTCGTGATTTTCGGAAGACTTTTGGCTTAAGGATCTTCCAGATTTCTCAAAATTTTCGCTGCGGCGCAGAAAAAGGAAGAAATTTTGCCTCTTGGCCTTCCAAATTTCTCAAAATTCGCTGAAAATGAAGACTGCGCTGAAAAGGAAGACTTATGGGCTCTTGTCCAGTTTATGCGTCCCATGAAAGTATATGCGTCCCATCAACAAAAAATTGGATATTTCTTGGTGTTGCAAAGTAGGGGTATGGTTCCAAAGCATTTCTTCATGTTCGGGATCTACGTCCACTGGGTCTGGGACCGTTCCTTACCCTATACCTAGAAATTTCTGAAAGTTATAGCCAATTTTTAAAAATTCCAGAAAAACGATTTTAACTTTCAGAAATTTCGAAGGATAGGGTAAGGAACGGTCCCAGACCCAGTGGACGTAGATCCCGAACATGAAGAAATGCTTTGGAACCATACCCCTACTTTGCAACACCAAGAAATATCCAATTTTTTGTTGATGGGATGCATATACTTTCATGGGACGCATAAACTGGACAAGAGCCGACTTATGTCTATATCAGAGGATTTGAATGGAATTAGGTGGATTTTAGTGTTAGCCGGATATTTCTAGGGATCTAAGGGAATAGCGAGGTATTTGGTCTGGAACTTGGGTGTTCCCACGTGGCCTTAATAAATTCTCAAAATTTAAGCCAGCGGCGCATAAAGAGAGAGATAGAAAAAGGGATTTAAAAAAAGTCATTCCAATTATATAAAATTATTGATATTTTTAGAACAAATTGCAGTATTTTGATGGACTTTATTTATAAAAAGTTTAAATTTTTTATTTTGAAAAAAATCCCGAATCCCGGATAATTATTTTCGGGATTTTTGAAATTCGGGATTTTTTCTGGATTTATCCCTCGGGATCTCGTCCCGGCATCGGTTAAGGAAAAAATCCCGACCCGGGATCCCGGAAATTCGATTTTGCCGGTCTTTAGTTTTATACATATAAATTATCATAATAATTAATATCGTAATTATTAGGGTCCGGATTTTTATTGAAATAAAATCGCAATATATGGCCATAAAATATTGAAATAAATTGGCAAAATATTGACAAAAAATGCCAAAAATTATTGAAATATTGAAATAAATTATTGCTTATTTAGAGCATTAACTCAAAGAAAGGTTGAATTTTAGCAAAAAAATTTTATTTTGCTTTAAAATAGTTTTTGTGATGCTACAGAGAGAAAATAGTCATTTCAGGACTTAAAATTTAGGAAAAGGTACATATTTGGGCAATTTCAAATGGACTCAATTTTGGATGAGACATTTTGCGGTAGGGGATCATTGTGTACCGCCGTTTGTGTACCTGGCCGTTTGTGTACCGGCCGTTTGTGTACCGCCGGTTGTGTACGCACCCAAAGGGGGACGTTTGTGTACCCGCATTATTTTTGGGATTAGGAGGGATTAAAGAGGATATAATTTCATTTAGAGTGATTAAGGGGGATAATCGAGAGATTTTGATTTGATATTGGGTCAATCCAGAATTCAGGGGAATGAGTTAAAGACCCTGAAAAGCAAAAAAGGGGTCAAATTCAATTCTGGGTAAAAAATTTTTAATATAAAAATGATAGCTCATTCGAAAGGGCTCGACGAGCTGAGTTGAATGACACCAAAATCAGCTTGGTTGGATGATTCTGAACAAAGTTATGACCAACAGAATCTTCGCTGGAAAAGCTGTTTTTGTGAAGCTACGGAGGAACTATTACCTAATCTCCGGACTATGGCAGAATTTACCATTATACAAAAAAATCAAAATGTGAAAAAAAATAAAAATATTTTTTAAAAATTTTATCAAAAAAATAAAAAAAACCATTGTAATGTCTCGTTTCACTTATTAAATTTGTGGCCCTAAGGAGGGCCGTTTGGGTTCGTTTTTGTTGTCGATGTTTGCTTAATTTCATCACCTTCGTTCCTTCAGAAACTGCGACTTGAAATCGACAGTCAGAAACTGACGAAATCAACTAAAATATTAAAAAAATAAAAACTTAAAAAACAAAATAAAAATTCCAAACCTTTTCAAATTTCCCATCGTTGTAGCCGTGTGAGGAAGTCCGGACATGGCGAGCAAAGTCGAATTCAAATGAATTCTCGAGATGAAAAAATAAAACAAAAATTTGTTGCTTATTAGCAACTCAAATCAAGTACTCGAATTCAAATGAATTCTCGAGATGAAAAAATAAAACAAAAATTTGTTGCTTATTAGCAACTCAAATCAAGTACTCGAATTCAAATGAATTCTCGAGATGAAAAAATAAAACAAAAATTTGTTGCTTATTAGCAACTCAAATCAAGTACTCGAATTCAAATGAATTCTCGAGATGAAAAAATAAAACAAAAATTTGTTGCTTATTAGCAA